AGATATCTATGAATATGCCTCTGATCTGGGCTTCGTTGGAGCGGGTATCCAACTGGCGCCGAACATGGCCCGTGTGCTGGACCGCCTGGGAGTATGGAAGGGAATTGAAGCCGAGGCCGTGAATATCGAAGAGACCAGTGTAAGAGGTATGGTCAAACGTGTTTCCTATGTGTTCAAAGCGATTGCACAAGATCCTGACTTTTGGTCCTAGTGGGTGCAACCGACTCTGAATTGGCACATGTTGAACTGCAGTATATCAAAGACACATATGGATACCCGCACATGGTTGGCCACCGTTCATCGCTGTCCAACGGACTGTACCAAGGCTGTCTCCGCTACCCGAATATCAAGTTCCATTTCTCCACTTCCGCCGGGAACGTCGACTCGTTCGGCCCTCGGCCCTCCTTCACAGCTACTCCGCGCGACTCCAGCCAAGCGCCGTACCGCGTCGAGGCGGACGTGCTGCTGGGCGCCGACGGGATCAAGAGTAACACACGTGTCGCCATGATGGACAAGCTCGGCATCCAGACCGGCGTGAAGGATACCAACCAAGCGGCCTACCGAATCATGATCCACAAGGACCAGATCAAGGAGGACGACACGGAGCTCCTGGAGCTGATTAACGGGACCAAGGTGACGCGCTGGATCGGCGAGAAGCGGCACATCATCGCATACCCCGTATCCAACAACACGATCTACAACCTCTCCACCGTCCAGCCAGACACGAACTTCGCGGCCGCCACCAACGCCACCTACACGACGCGCGGATCGAAGAAAACCATGCTGGAGGTCTTCGGGGATTTCTGCCCCATGGTGCAGCGCATGCTGAACTACGTCCCCGAGGGTGAAGTTTGCGAATGGAAGCTGCGCGTTCACGAGCCCCTGGAGACCTGGGTGCACGAGTCCACCGCTCTGGTCGGGGATGCTTGCCACCCGACCCTGCCTCATCTCGCGCAAGGAGCTGCGCAGGCTATTGAAGACGGTGCCGTGATTGCGATCGCTTTGTCCCTGCTACCGGACACGACTCCCACTTCCATCGCTAAGGCGCTGAAGGTGTACGAGAAGATTCGTAAGGACCGGGCGTATGCGCTTGTCGAGTTGGCGGCTGCATCTGGTCGGGCGCTCCATTTGGGAGACGGCGCTGCCAAGGAGGAACGAGACAAGCAGTTTGCTGCGTTGAAAAAGGGCAACGGCCCCGTTCCGGATAAGTGGGCCGATGCAGATGTGCAGAAGATCATCTATGGCTTTGATTGCCAGGAGGAGACGCGGGAGAAGTTCAATGAGTATTTCGCGTAAGCATTGCTCTTTTTTTTTTGGTTCTGCGATTTGATTTGATGTATTATGTCTTTAGAGGCTAATCGGATAGAAGGTCTTCGCGAGACGCTAAATTAGCATGAGTATAGATATAGCATAGCGAGATGAATGTACTGTTATGAGTTAAGTTAAAAACTCGAAATAAGATGCAGCATAACTTTAATTGCTGTATGTTAGCTGACTGGGCGTCAGATATATATGCATTCAATGATGTTCTATCGTACTATAACATCATGTAGCGAGGGCATCGGGAGACATGATACATTAGCTAACATGATGCTGTAACCAAGTACATTTAGACTATGATATAAGTATTATACACAAGTACCTAATTAATTGGACTGTTGTTATATGTATTGTGCAGCGTTGAAGGCATTCCTTGAATTAGGGCTAAACTGACGACCATGTTAACATATGATGAAGACGTAGCTCATGTGGGTCCCGAACGGCCTCGGTCCATCTCATGTTAATTAGTCAATAGAATATTTTCATGCATGAATGCCCTATACGGAGTATATATCATATGCCAAAGAAAAAAGAAGAAAAAAAAAAAAAACATAAAAAATAAATGGCCGATGGCCGAAGCTGAATCAGCAAGGGACTTTCCCCACCCCGTTCGGCAAACGTGGGGTCCCAGTTCCGAGGGGGTCAGGATTTAGTGGCTGGGGGTCAGAGTGGTTCTGACCCCCCGAGAGGTCTACCGCCTTCGTCACATGATAAGATCTCCGAGGGGGTCAGAACTTTATATATTATATAATCGAGCTCTAAGGGGTCAGAAATTTTTAATAATTCTGACCCCCTTAGAGCTTTAATTTTAGCTATTTTAAACTATATTTAAACTGGAAAGATTTTAAGAGTTAATTAACTTTAGATTATATTTAAATAATATTTAAATTAAATTTAAACTAAATATATTTCAATATCTTTTATATATTATTAAATAATAAAGACTTAAAAAACTGGAACAGTCACGTGAAAGAGCTCCGAGGGGGTCAGAAAACAATTTTTCTGATTTTTTAAGATTAGTAAGAAATAGCTCTGAGGGAGTCAGAAATTAAAATATTATGTGAATCGGCAGTATTTCTTCTGACCCCCTCGGAGATGGTTTCTCCGCCCCACCCTGACCCCCAGCCACTAAATCCTGACCCCCCCGGAGCTGTATGCCCGGCAAACGTCGGCCATCAGGAAACTATTGGACTCCAGCTTATCCTCTTCGACGGCCACGGTCAACTTAGAATTTACGATGGATAAGTCTCATAGGCGCAAAAATCATGTCTGCCCGTCCCTACCGCTCCAAAAGGCACCGCCCTTGCGATCAATGCCGTGAAAGGAAACTTGGGTGTCAGACGGACGGCGGTCTCCCGTGTGTACGCTGTCGTTCGGCCGATCTGCCCTGTACCTTCGAGCATCCACCCCCCAAGAGGCCTCGACGTGAATCGTCCGGTCATATGGGAGATCATTCGGGTTCTGTAGCTTCGTCCATTGATCCGGAGTCATCCTTTTTGCCACCGTCATGGGAAGAGCCGCCCAACCATCCTGCGTCTCATCTGCCCTCCCGCGGTGCTTCTGTCAACCCTGCTGTCCACCAACCAGCGTTTGCTCCGCTAGAGGATGTGCCTACGAATGGGGCCGTCTCTCCTGCTGTGTCGGGACACCTGGTCACAGTTGGCCGATCTCCTACGCAGTTCGTGCAGAGCCTTGACCAGCTCGAAGGCTTTTCGGCCCATTTGTTTGGAGCGTCTGCCGAGTCGGACCCTTGGCTCCTTCGGCATTGCTCCTTCGATGATGCCGGTGTGAAGTGCTTCTACAAGGTCCACTTTCGTAATGCAGGCGGTGTTCCGACGGCGGACAAAATCCCGGTTCATTTCATGCTTGCTGCAGACGATTTAGCTACGTCGGCCAAGCAGGAGACATCCTGTCGATTCAGTGGCGACGCTACCCGGGAAGAGCTCAACCGCTTGGTTCCGCACGATTATGGCCAACGACTGGTGTCTCTGTAAGTTCTTCGTACCCGGAACATTATGGTCATGTGCTAACTGGGGTAGGTTCATCAAATATGTCTGGCCGGCATTGCCGCTCATATCCCGCTCTCAGATGGGACTGACTCCCTCGTGTTCAATACCCGAGCCATGGGCTCTAGAGCGCACGCCGGTGCATTTGCTTGCAGCGGTCTATGCATCTGCTTTGCCTTTTGCCGCCCATGACGATTACCTGTGCGTGCTGCAAACATATAACGCTCCGCCGGCGGACAGGCTCTGGCGGATGGCCTATGAGTTAATATCCGAGGAGATCCACACACCACACCTGGCTGTTCTGCAGACAGCTTTGCTGTACCTGCATCGGCCACTTGATGAGGCCCGAGCTAGCATTGCTGACACCCCATTTGTCTGGTCATTTGTCGGCACCATTGTGGGCCTAGCCGAATCCCTGGGGCTACACATCGAATGCCGCATGTGGGGGATACCCGCATGGGAGAAACGTCTGCGGCGCCGGCTGTGGTGGGCCGTCTATGCCGAGGACAAATGGCGTAGCTTGCTGATGGGTCGACCGCCGTATATCCATCGGAGTGAATGGGACGTCAGTGACCTGGATGGAGCGGACTTTCTCTACCACACCAGGGGTGCTTCTTCATCGTCCTCAGGCGTCCACCAACCGCAAGATCCGGTGCCTTTTCGCTACCTGGTGGACCTGTCTGGCATTGCAGAGCAGATCTACGAATCATTTTAGTAAGTATACGAGGATGGTGCTTAGTTTGGCGCATACTAACAGTTAATTAGCACCCTCCGCAAATCACAATACCTATCTGAACGATTCCGGGTCTCACACGACACTGGCCGGCCATTGTTGGAGAAGCTGAATGACTGGTACTCCTCACTGCCGGAAAGCTTCCGGCTCCCCAACTGGAGCAAGTCTGTCAGCGGACTTGCGCCATATCCCACCTCGATCCACTTCGCCTATCTGATCCTGGTCCTGTTTGTCTACCGGGCCCTCCTTCGGCCGATGGCTCGGTCGTCCAGTCCGCCGTTAATTTTCGATCTGGACGAGATACCCACGAACCCCTCGGCATTGGATACAGCTGTAGATGATTCACCTGTGCTGGACTTCCTAAATATGCCCGAGATTGATTCCTTCCCTGCGGTGGAGCTGTCCGACCACAGCACGGGCGAGACGACCCTAAACTCGGCGGAGCGCTGCGCTTCGATAGTAATCAGCTTCACACGGCGATTGACGTCGAGTGACTTCACAGGGTTTTGGTATTCTTGTAAGTCACACGTGTACCCAATCATCCCTACAGGTGGATACTAATCAAGGGTCTGGACAGGGTCTCGCATCGGCTTCGCAACCGTCTCCAACTTCGCCCTTCTCCTCTTAGTCCAAGCGCCAAATGCCGAACGAGCATCCAAGGGTAAACAGCTTGTCGACTCCTGGCTGCGCGTGCTCCGCTGCCAAAGCCAGAGCTTCCCCATGATGAAGCTTGGCCTAACGCGACTGGACGCAATGCATTGGGTGGGACTTGGGCAGACATTCGTTCTACCTCAGCACGTGCAAGAAGTGATTCAATCATCGGGGAACTGATAATCTTCGGCCGATTTTTCGTTCCTCAGGTGTACCATGGTATGAGGTCGGCAGCCGTGGGCTCGGCCATCGGCATCAGAGTTTTCGTATGGGGCCAGTTCTATAAGAATGGGCTCCTTGACGAGGGTATTGTAGATAACCAGATAAGAAACATAGTCACAGACACGCAAATCAAACTATACAGATATACAACCGAATTGAACAGAATTAGCGATCAAGATGCCTGACTTCCTAATCGACCTTCTCAAGCGAAACAAGTCTGCAGGAACCAAGCACTCACTGGACGCCTTGCAAGACTCAGCTTCAGAAATGACATTGATCGAGTAAGTTAACCATACTAGTTCTTGTCTGTCTTGAAATACAAAGCTGACAGATGTCAGGAAAGCAAAAGCAAGACCGTATCACACACAAAAGAACAAAAACAGACAAACAAACACGCAGTTCAATCGTAAGTCATGTCTACATATATAGATTGCTAGCTCTGGCTAACGAATATCGCTGTAGCGGCCGATCTTTGTTTCGGCTCATGTTGCCGAAACTGATCAAGTGTGAGGCTTATCACCTTTACGTGGAGGGGGCTTTCGTGAAATGACCGCCGTCGACATACTTCAACCACAAATTCCTACCTAGGCCGGGATCGAGATCTCCTTCTCCGTCATTTGCCAGAAAGACAAGTAGCAGATCATGGTATACGCCGCCAACATATAAAACCGTTTATAGGTTTTCCGATCGAAGGCAACGCCACCATGCCAGACGCATCGGAATCCAACGATGCATGCGAAGATGCTGTGCAGGATGCCTGTGATAACGAGTCCCGCTACCATCCAATGTGGATCCGGGGAGGAAGAGCCCTGGATATAAGAAGATGTGGCAACGAGGAGCACGACGCCCGACCCGATGACCAGCATTGCGGTGCCTGCTCGGAGGAGCCGTTCCCCCTTGGGTCCAACCACCACCGGAAGCGTCCGTCTCTTCATCCGTCTGTCACCCTCGGCATCATGGAACTCCTGCATGTGTACTGTGGTCATTACCCATGCAGAGAAGAGGAGGAGGATATGCTTCGGCATGACCGGGAACGACGGGATCTCGCTGTGAATGATGGTGTCCACGAGTCGGAACATGTTGTATGCACCAATGGACGCAAACGCGTTCCGGAAGATCCAGTGGTTGATCTTTGGCCAGACATAGCAGAAATATACCCAAGCTTGGTATGCTCCGAAGAGGCCGGCGGCTTCCGGACCCGCGAGGTGGCTGGCAACGACGGGACAAATGGCCCAGCTTAGGAGCCAACGTCTATAGGCACCGGGGATGCAGAGCAAGCCTGTCGGGATCGGTCGGTGCGGCTTGTTGGCGATGTCTTCGTCGATGGAGAGGACTTGGTTCACGATCTCGAACACGTACAGGTGGCAGATGAAGCAGATGAAGGTCTTGATGAGCACTAGGGCAAGATGGGTCCAGGGGGTCGTGAGCAGGAGGGCCGGCGCAGGCAGGAAACGAGCGATGAGACCGATGATGGGGAGGACTAGGCCTTCGCGGATGTTGGCACGGAGTAATCGTTCTGTGATGAGAAATTCATGATGCAGAATCTGGCGAATGGTCTCATGGACACCCTTTGGGATTACATGGTCACTTTTAAGGGGTTGGATGGTCGATCTGGAGAGTGCCAGGCACTGGGTAGTAGTGGTGGTCATTTTGATATTCAGAACATTTGTTAGGATACAATCAATTAAGCAATCCCTTAATCAATCAGTCAATTGAACAACCATTGCTTCTATCCAACACTCCCCCAATACATTTCTGGGACATACTGCACCACACCTGATATAAACCACGACCCGACATGACGGAGAACCCCCGGGAGCCAAACCTTAGAGTACATCCGTAGCGTCCCCAGGACTGGCCGACAACTGACCACGTCAAACAGTTAAACCGGCTTCTTTAGCGAACCCCACCTGTCAAATGTCCAATTGGTAGACCCATTTCGGGGCCGTTTGACGAAAAGGCGGGCCCTTCGACTATCGTGACGGAGCTCGCTCGGACAGATCAACCATGACCGGGATTTGGGCCGCTGGCATCCCAGCGGTGCCTTCTAGCGTCTGCAAGTCGTCCAGTCAGGTACATTCAGTGGCGCCCTCGTGCCTTCACTACCAGGCTAGCGCTCAGGCCTGGTAAAGGCGGGCCCCATCGTCGTCCTCTGTCCTGGGCTGGCTACAGCAACGGTCCGTTTGCTAGTTCGAGGTGTCAATCCCGTCCTCTGGGACTCGAAGTGGATCTCCGCTGCATCCTTACTAAAATGGCGTGGAAATGGGGTTAAAACGGGGTAAATCCAGGGCTGACTCCCTGTTATTCCCTGCGTGCCTTTCATTGTCTCTATCTTGCATGATGTGGTAATATAATACAAGGGTTTATATGCCTCGTACTTTATCCATATCCGAATCCCGCCGTTTTAATGATCAAGTAATAGCCACCTCTTATTGCCTATATGCGATTGATATGGCATGATTCCCTCGGTTTCAGACAGTTTCCAGGCTGAGCACGGTCCACTCGAGTCTCGGCTGAAGGATTTGACCAGCCAATCGGTCTGCCCAGTGAACAAGCGATTTGAGTATCTAATGCGTTGTCAGCCAATCTTTCGGGTCAAAGATAACGCTGATCATGAGGATCAGACACTCTGTCGGGTATTCTCACAGTGGAAAATGGGAAGGGATCAGCAGTTCCATACTTCCATGTATTGATGATAGCATCGATATAGGGTCAATCCTTGATTTCTTCCACGAAATGCATAGCAAAGGTCCTTTAAGGAGACATATCTTATGATGTAACCCTAATACACCATAATTAATAATCCATGTTCTTAGAACTGCAAGTGCTCCCCGCCAAACCAGTATATCAACGGTCGTTATACGCAGGGCTGGGTAATGGGCAAACGCCGAGCGTCTTTAGAGTTGATAACCCCTCCGACGCTTCGCTGTAAGATTACTAGCCTGGCAAATGGCTTCAATGCATTGGTAAGCTTATTGACAAATACTTTTGCTGCCCGTCGTTTGCCTTCTCCTTCGAAGGGTTATGCCTATGCTTATTGTTCATAATTCTCTTGTTCATGGGCCGCACAGTACCGGATCCTCCTGCGAAGAGTGCATTATGCAATGCGCTATTGGTGTCAGACTCCACAGCGGAGTGGGAGCCGAGGGATTTGATTGGTGGCTTTACGCTCCTTTCTTGATGTCCGTGCTAATCGAATGGCGCATGGCTGTTTACTGATACTCGTGAAAAGACGCTGGCGACTAGCGATCGAGATGGGCTAGCTGTCCTCTCATGACTATACGCGTCAACTTGTCAAAATAAGGATATTCCGGATCCTCGTGCTTGGTAAACCTTGCAGGTGCTGTTCCTTGACGAACTCTATGACCTAGGGCTTTAGCTTTACATCATTCAGGTAGCAGGCGCCTTGTACAACATATGCTGCATGCATATACATATCTCGAGGTAATTGCGTTTGTAATGCCATTGCATCATAGTACTCAATGATTTTCGTATAATTTACCAGATTCATCGAAAGTCTTTTGTGGAAAGTATGAATGGACTGGTCATGTATCGAATACCGATTGGGATATACCCTGATTCTGCCTTGGGTGTCAACTGCTGCCTGACGGGGATTAAGGAGATACGAGATACATCACGTGAAGATAAGATCAAATCGATCATCATCGCCGTCATTCATGCATCCATTCATTAACCATCAATTTCCATCTTAACCCCGCGGGTTCAATTGAGCAATGTCGCATTTGAAACTTGCCCCGCCCTCGAGTTGCCTCAATGCCCCCTTCTAGCGTAAGTAGTCAATAGAAAATCCTCTCCCTAACAATGACAACCATCTGACTATCTAATTGCAGACACCTTTTCGCGTTCCCTCTTCTCGTCGTCCCAATTCCTCCGCTCAGCCCAGTGCTGGTCCCCAGTTCGCGTCAACACCCCGTTTCGTGCTCTCCCAGCAGACCCCTGGCTCAACCGCGCGGGTACATGTCAAAGATGAACTCATCGATGGCGATGAATCTCCTCAATCCACCCCTATCGCCAATACACGGGTCGCCAAAAGAGAGCAAGGCATTGGACCAACCCAGCGCCAGAAAGAGATAATCGAAGACTCCGATGACGGGCTAGATGACAATGAAGGAGCGCGCAGAACCTCACACAATGACATCACCGGGAGCCCAGATCCAGATAGTAGTCCACCATGCAACGCAGGCGAGCTCGAGGCCGAATTCGAAGCTCTCTTCGGACCGACGACGACACGACCAAAGCGAAGGCGGCGTGCATCGCTTGACCCAGAGACACCCTTCACCCAGCGAAGAAAACACGATGACGATATCATTCAAACATCTTCCCCGGAAGCACCATCGCCTACGATGGACCGTACTCAACGACAAAGCCAACCTCCGAACCAGACATGTCCCGAGATAAACCCTCAGCGAACCACCACCACTACTCCCCAATCTTCAACACCAGCAACTATCAAATCCTCCTTCCGCAACAACCCTCGCTTCGCGCTATCAGCCTCACAGGCATTTCCAGGTACCCAGTCTCAATCAAGCGCTCGGCCGCCCCCTTGCGCAACACCGGCACCGACGTCCCCGCCCCCGAAACGGAAACCGACGTTCGTTCTTCCGCGCTCGCCGTCCCCATCCCAGGCCGCTGAAGACCCCTCTGCCATTCCTACCCCATTCTCCCCTTCGTCTCACACGCTCCGTCGCCGTGGTCGCGCCCGCTCCTCGGCCCCTAGTTATCTGCCCGGCGGCATGGCGGCCGAAGTGCGCAGCTGGATATTGGAAATGAGCACCAAGCGGGAACAGATGCAGATGAACTACCGAAACCGCACCGGAGCCGGACCCGATTTGCAAAGGTATTTTCTCGTCGTTCGTATCGCGGATGTTCGTCAGTCTGCGCTTGCTAGTTCCGGACCGCTTGCTTTCGTGCGAGGCCAGCCTGTGACGTCACTGGGGGATGAAGAGGATGCTTCTGGTCATCGTGAGAGCAGTGAGATGAAGCATATTCTTCTTCTAGGGACCCCGCGCTCCAAGCCGGCTGGCGTACCGTCGCAGCATCCAGATGCTAGTTCTGTTCCTGAACTTGTTGGGGGGAACCTGGTGGGTGTTCATCGGGGATTGGTCTGGGAATTAGATTTGGAGGATAGATTGTCTGGATATGGGATACAAAGTGATCCCAATAGCGACAGGCACGGGCAACCTGGGGCTACAACCAAGTGGCTTGTGTGTATGGAGTGGGATCTGATATCAGTGGATTGATAGATGATGATGATGATCGTGGTTATGTCCTGATATTATTAGCAACTATGTATACTACACTACGCATGATACCCCGGGCTTTACATGTTTATCTGTGAATATTTTCCTCCACCGTGGGAGCGGTCTATACATTTCGTTAGATGACATATATACAAAAGATCAGAGCACAAAGTCTTAATGCAATGCTTTTATCCAATAGGCCACAACATCCCATATCAAAGAGAACCGGACGCCAAAAAGCAACCACAACAGTCCTAGATCAAAATTAATCAAACCCCGCCGTCTCCTTCGAGACAACCTTCAAAGCATCAACCGCAACATTACAACCCCACTTGACCAACTTCTGTTCCTTCCCAGAAACAACGTCTGACTTGGCCACCACCTTACGCAGGAAGAAGATCAGCCCCTTGACGATCTGGGGCGTCTCACGGGTGCGGATGAAGATTTCCATAAGGGCCTTCTCATCCTTCTCGTCGTCGGATTTCTTGGCGTGCTTTTTGCCGCGTTTCTGCTTCTGGGATTGCTGGATGACGCTGATAAGGAGGAGCTCGACGAAAGTATTGGATTTGGGCTGGAGGTAGGCGAAGTTAAGGGTCTTTAGGATGCCCAGGGTGAGGGTGTTGTCTGCGATGAGGCTGCCGTACATCTTTGCGAGGTTGACGACGGCTTTCATGGGGAGTTGGTTCTGTTCGTCCTCATCGAAGTCGACGTCGTCTTCGTCGTCCATGTCGCCTGTTTCGCCCATGCGTTTGAAGATGTTCCAAAGTGTGAACATAAAGGAGACTTTGAGGCGGCGGCCTGATTCGCCGCAGAGGCGGCGCGCGATTAACGTGTAGTATGGGTTGTAGGCTTCTTCTTCCATGGAGCAGTGGGTTAGTACGCGCGGAATTTCGTATTCTTGTGCTTTCTTCAGGCGGAGTTTGAGAAGTCGGACATGCGCATCTTGGTAGTCTGTTGCGGACATGATGGCAACGAAAATGGAGCGTCGGACGTCTGTGTTCATTCGGTGGGCTTTTGCGAGGTTGACGAAGTCAGGTTCCCCGTCGCTATCTTCCTCTTCTGCTGCGGCGGGGTTCTGCTGGTCTGCTGGGAGGTTGGAAAGTTCCTGGCGAGCGGAGACTAGCGGGTCTTCTCTCCAGCTTGCGCCGACAAGCCACCATTTTCCTTTCTTCGAAGAGTTGTGAATGTCGTCTCGCGAGATGCTGATGGGTTCGGTGGCACGGATGACCCGTGAGTTGTTCAGAGATCCTAGGATCTTGCGCATTTTCGTGATGTGCTCGGTTGTTACACTGGAGCCGACTCCAGCTTTTAACTTGTTGTTTTTAAGATCGGTGATTGTGTCAATCATGAACTTCGTGCGGACAGAGAGAGATGCTTCGCCGGCCTTGGCTACTGCCGGCTGGATAAGAAGAACGATGTCTTTCAGAGACGATGGGTCGTCTTGTCTGAGTTGTGGTCCAGAATCTATCGCTGTTAGTTTGTTTCGTCCAACTATGCGCAGGACGATACTTACTCCTGATGATCTTGAGGAGTAATTCGGTATTTTCCTCAGTGATGTCTTGCAGAAAGAGCCGAATGTAATCAAAGATTAAAGTACTGGAGATGACATGGAAGTTGTAAAGTTGCGCGAGAAGAGACATAAGGTTGATGGACTCCTTCCCTTCGAAGCTGCCACGCTCATCTCCGCGAGCATCGAATGTTTCAACTATTTTTTGCACGAGTTCGGCGCCAAAATCCGTTCCAACAACCTTATATACAGCTGCGATGAACCCTGCATGGAGAATCAGGAACGTATCCTGAAGAGCGGACCGTTCGCAAATGAGGCCGAAAAGTAGATTTATCAGTGTCGTAGTAACTTCTTTTCGTGGGTACTCCCGGTAGAGCTTTTCATACTCGGCCAGAATGGAGACTAGATTGGCCTCGGACAATTTATTCAGGTGTCCTTGGGCCTGTCTCTTTAGTCGAACGAGCGACTCTGACTCGGACCCGGATGCAGCCCGCAACGACGGAGGAATATACTTCTGTGGACGATTCTCGTTTGTTTCTGCGACAGGTGCGACATATGGGTTTTCTCGTTTCTTCGCGACGGGCTTCTCCTCTTCACTTTCTTCCACATCCTCATCATCTTCTCCATCCAGATCGTCGAACATGTCTTCATCTTCGTCAAGGTCATCCATATCATCCATCTCTCCCTCGCTACCCAAATCACTCCCATCTTCAGAGTCGCTCTCAGGCTCTAAGCCTTGCGCTTTCCTCCTCTTATTCCTTAGCCATTCGTCAGCTTCCCTTTTACGCTTCCGACCTTCATCTGCCGACCCCTCGTCCAAATCGCCTAGCAAGTCGCCTAGACCATCCTCTTCAAAGGACTTCGGGAGCTTTTTCCCTTTCTTAAGACCAAGCTTTTTCTCCAGCGCAGCAATCTCGGCTTCGTCTTGGTCGAGCTTTTCTTGAACCGCTTTGGATATTTGACGCGGACGTATTGTCTCTTCCTCCTCGCTACCACTTTCGGGATCGGGCTTTCCAGACTTCGCCTTCTGAAGGATCGGTTTCGGTTGCTGTTTCGCCTGCTTTGCGGCCTTTAACTTAGCAAACACATCTTCCTCGCCAGCTGCGTCCGACTCGGCCCCAGAACCATCATCGAACCCCTCAAAGCCATCGTCATCGTCATCATCATCGTCACGACGGTTCGACTGCTGTCTCCCGCCGTGCTTGGAAATCGGCGCACGTTTCGTCTTCTGTTCTCGTTCCTCCCGCCGACGATCTTTCCGAGTAATAGGTCCGTTCCGCCTCTTCTTCTTGTCGCCGTAGGAATCTTTAATTCCTAACTCGTCGCGCAGATTCCGAGGCAGCGAGGTCGTATTATGCATCGGACGCGGCATTGTGGGCCAATTATCCTGCCTCCGCTGAGTTGTGTTACTTGAAGCTCTTGCGCAACGAAACTTTTTTTTTATGCCGGGAAGAAAGGTGGGCGGAGTGGAGGCGGAGAGCGATTAAGCCAAGGCGGTGAGTCGCCCTCAACTGCGGAGGGTTGTCTCGACCGCCCGATGTCACGATGGTGTTTAGTGTCCAGTTCGAAATTGCAGAACAGAGAGGTCTTTGAACGTTGTCGATCTTTCAATTGGCTTGGAATAACCCCGACTCCGGATCTTCTTAGTTGTTGTTGTATCTACGCCACGGAATAGGGACATCCTATCCCGGATACATCGCACACAAGCGAATTTCATACCGTTCGTCGCAAATCTACAATGGCACCACACCTCGGCCACGAGGAGGTACGTACATCGTTCTCCATTGTCCTAGCTACATGAGAATATTTTATGCGCGTATGGGTCTGTACTAATGATATACAGTTTTTCTCCTCCCTCTCCGACCTCCTCTCCAAGACCTCCCAGAAAGCCCGAGGCTCCGTCTTCCTTACCCAGAAGCCTCTCATTGACAGCACCGCATCATCAGAGAACGCCTCCTCCTCATCGCGGCCATCTGTCCTCATCCGAGCAACAGACGGCAACACCAACGCGCCCAATCCGAAGAACAACAAGGTCGAGAAGAAGACCGTCTCGAAAGTGAAACTGTCGACGATAGTAGCGCCGGAGGACCTCGAGGCTTTCTATACCCGCTATGCGGAAGTCTGCAAGGCCGGGATGACAGGCTTGAAGAAGAGAGATCGTAAGAAGGGCAAGGCTAAGGCGAAGGGTGGTGCGAAGGCTGCTAAGGCTTAGGCATACGGATCGGCACTTTGATGGACGATGTTGTTGAGATTGGTCCTGCTTGTTCTTTGCATTGATGGCGTTGTCTGGTCATTTTACTCTCCTGCGTTTCTCTTCTCTTTTACTTGTTCGTTTCATGTTGATATGTTAGATATACATATACCTAGACCGGTTGATGAGCCGAGGACCTGGACCGAATCGAGCAATGAACGATTCAATCTTATTCCCTTCTTGGAATGAATAATAGCAGGGTATATTAGCTATGACTATAACTGAGATATGCTAAATTACAAAGGGGACATTAGACAATAAATAGTCAAAGCAAGACCCATCCGCCAACAAACCGTACAATAACCCAAAACCGACAAATATGGTAGAACAGTACACGATTCATCATCATAGAAACAGGGACGTCATACGGAGTACAGAGAGTGCGTGGAAAGAATACTGTGAGTGGACTAAAGGCGAGAGATTGAACCAGATAGGAAAAAAGAAAGGAAGGCAAAGAGGAGATATGCGTCAGAGACGCCGGTAGCCAAGTTACACAAGCTGCCTTGGCCGTACATTTAATCCAACTCCCAGGAGTTGGCTTCGGATACCGACTGCTTCCTGGGACAGTCGGGTGCAAGTGGAAGATCAAAGTCGTCCACAGCCTCCTCAGGGTCCGCCACTTGGTACTCATACTTATGATTCAACTCCCCCACAGCGGATGTCAAAGCTGGGCCCAATACGATCCGAGCAGCTATATGGATGAGGACGATAAATAACTGAATCGGAGGAATAAGGACCACCGTGCATGTCTTCTGAATCAGGGAGGCCGTGTTTTCCTTATCCGAGGGGCTGGTAAGGGCTAAAGCGGACTGAGGTGGCATCGGCGAAAGTTCTCGCTCCCGAGACGCCTTGGACCGACGACGAAATTCCATGCTCATGCTGCTGAGGTTGGGGTTGGAGTCCGTGGTCTTAGATGTACCAGCATAGCTTGCAATGGACATCTGATCATCCGGCAGTGCACCAGGCACTCGTCGAAAGTCTTCCTCGGAGAAAGAAGCCCTGGGGGAAGCCCGGGGCCTAGGTGAACAGCAATCTTCGCACTTAACTTCTGGTACAGTACATCCTGCAGAAAAATCAACCTTCTCGAATTTAGGATTCTCCAAGTGATCCTGGTTGTTACTGGTTTCACGCAGACCGAGATCTGTGCCGTCAGTTGATGTGACCGAAGGGAAAGGAGAGCCCGAATTTGATTCAGTTGGCGACGAGGGTGAAGAAGCGATGGAGTGAAATGAGTCAACACTGGAAGATAATGGCATTTCGGGCTTCACAGGTGGTTCAGGTGTGTCTTCAAACCTTGCCAGCAAGGTCTGGAAGCTCTGTTGAGTTTCGGACACGGAGCGTCGAGGCAAATCTGTGATTTCGGGGACATTGTTGGGCAGTGAAGGTTCGTTATCGTCAGGAATAGTTTCGAGGACAGTGCTATTGCTACCTTTCGCTGTGAAGCAGCTATCGTCCGTTAAATTGCCATCGGTGTCTTCGCCAGCGCTCAGTGAATCAGTCAGAGCGTCTTCGCGGGCCGGACTCTTATCAAGTATGTATGCTGAAAGGATAGGAGCGCTCTCCCGTCGTCCTTTCGGACGCCATGCTCTTTTGCGCCGCGGAACCCTGGCCTCCTCCGGTATCTCGACCGTGAACCCCCTTTTGAACGGACAAGGGGTGACTTCATAGCGGAGGACCTGAAGCAAGGCCTCTTTCATTGCTGTCACGGACTTCCTATCCTCTTCCGTTTCATTGGGAAGTTCGATACGGTAATAGGTAAGAGGGCGAATGCGCAGAACAAATGTTGATTCTCCGTCCACACACCAACATTGGGAGTTCTTGAGGATTGCATGAACGACACTGCCGCATTTCAAGAACACCGTCAAGCCATGAACCTTTTCGAGTCGAAGGGGCGCAAATGCAACTGTTCGTTCTGTAGGGGATCTCCACGGAAGGGTTTCAACCGTATCAACCGGGTAATCGAAGTCCGCTGGCGCGGTGCTAGACGGGATGGGCGCAAGTGCTCTCGGGGCGAAATGGACTACTTTGGCTGCAGGGTGGTAAAAAAGATCATTTTCCGAAGGTCTCAGTGATTCTACACTGCGTTTGGAACGTGGATTCAATTTCGAAGGGAGAGTAGCAGACCGACGGATCTGAGCAAGCGGCGCATCCGAGGTATCGGTCATGGTTCATGAGGGCTAGTGAAAAAGAAAGGGCGGATAACAACACAGGTTACATTGAATAGACAAAGCCGATTGCGAGACAATAGAGATTTGATGTAGAAAGCGAGAGAAGAAAGACCGCAGTTAGTTGAGAATGAGTGTCGATGGAGGGAGAGAATGTAAAGAATGAACGACCATCTCTGGTCAGCAGCGTGATACGGGGTGATAAAGTTCATCTGATTTGCCTCAACAAAACCGCGGGGGAATCAGGAACGGACCGTAGCCTCAGGCAGAGCTCACATGCCCCTTGTGGGTCCTAAAAGCGCCTGCGCTTAGCTGGCGGCTGCTTGGCCAATCCCCTGCCACTGCCATAGAGGTTCTTATGCGGCTGCCTGCGCTCTTCCTGCAGGTCCAGAAGATCCACAAAACGAAGAATACACGTTGACTCTGCTATATTTTTCTCCTTCACTGAGAAGGTGTTGAACTACAAAGAACGCTCAAAATGCCCAATTTTGAGCCCAATGCCGTCATTCGCGGTGCTCAACTCACGATTGTTGGAAGTGAGTCTCCCCAATACATCAACCACCCTTGAGTCCGGAACTTCCGGATAGCCCCTTTTGGTCCTGAAGGGGTTATCCTTGATTAGCAACCTGAACTCAGGTCTCCAGGCAATTGGGTCATGAGCTCCAATCGACCATGGTTATCAAAACCGTGATTCCATGGGCCCTCAGCAATCGATAAGGCCAGGGGCCAGGGATGGAGATCATCTTGGCATCTTTACTAGTGGATAATGTGGCTGACCATGTGGCTGACCAACTGGCCAACAGCTGTTCGAGCACTACGGAATCCAGACCTCTTCAAGCATGAGCACTTTCGACAAGCGGGTTTTGCGATTGCTGTAGGAGTTGCCATTGAATTAATCATTCAGATCCCCGTATGTTCCCAGTGCCATAATAGGAAATGATCTACAGGACTGACGATATCCCCTAGATCATCGGGGTCAAGTTTCTACTATGGGTCATATCTTGGATGGCCGACTTGGAGAGCGCAACGTGGGACGATACTCTTCTTGAAAGTCTTGATTTTCTGAGCAAATCGGTCCTTCAGGTTCCCTTCTTGGTGATGACGCTCCTGCGATACATCACCCCAACTCTCGATGAGATGTAAGTCTCTCGTTATTCCGTACCCACATTATTTTCATGTACTTATTTGACAGCTTTATGGAATCTATAAAATGGGTCGACTCAACTTATGTTGACAAACATAAGGCGGACGATCCTAAGACCCTACGGGCCATGTACTACCCAAGCCTTGCGATGTACTCCACGAAAGGGAGTGTTGGGGTGTCTAAGCCGAAAGGTGAATCGATGCTCGTATTCGTCCGTCGCTATGGGCGCAAGGTCGGGATGATGCTTGGTATCTTTTTGTTGTCGCTTCTTCCCATCGTCGGGCGATTCGTGATGCCAGCAGCTTCGTTCTTTTCCTTCCAGCAGATGGTGGGCCCAGCCCCTGCAGCTGCCATCTTCGGAACCGGTCTCGTGCTTCCCAAGCGCTACTTGGTCACCTTCCTCCACACCTATTACTCTTCCCGCAGTTTGATGCGTGAACTCGTGAGTGCTCATGAATACTGTAAATCCTGTAAGGTCATGCATGACATCTGACAATTTCAACAGCTCGAACCATACTTCTGCCGTATCAAATACACTCATGAACAGAAGCGCCGCTGGTTTGCGGATCGGGAAGGTGTCCTATTTGGATTTGCCTTTGCCTTCACTGTTGTGCTGAAGACACCGTTCATTGGAGTTCTCATGTACGGTATTGCCCAAGCATCCACGGCCTATCTTGTTACCAAGATCACAGATCCTCCACCAGTCCCAGCGGAGAGTGAAGGCTTTGCTGAAAGCCAGGTGACCTGGAAGAACAAGCACGATTTTCTGCAGTTGTCACTGGAGAACATTGACAAGATCAACGTTGCTGCGCAGAACAAGAAAGGTGGTGATAAGAGTGATGAGCCCGATGCGCTTCGGCGGAAGTTCGCCTAGGTTACGGTGTTCATTCAGGATCTGTAGATGTGTTCTTAGTTGTGGATATCAAAGGAGATAAGATGAGTGGAAGATATGGATGAAGCAGTGGCTTCATCTTCATCCACGTCACCACTGATCCTTCGTACTTGGAGATGGTGCGGAACATATTCCGGCCTCTCCAATAAGATAGAATATAAAAAGCATTGAATTGATTGCTCCCGACCACGCCCGCTGATAAGCGCGATAAGTCGATCGTTTTCGTAATCTCCAACTGCGGGGTTGGTAAAACAATGAATAAGTCCAAGATAATCAATTATCATCCTGCCCATGAGGGGAAGACCGGAGTTACCTTCGCCTCCTCAGTTGGAGTTGCAACCTAAACCAAAACCCTAACCCTCTTAAATGCGCCTTTGCCCCCTGGGTCCCTTCATTTTAGCTTCTCATCGTGGATATATACTGGAACAGAACCAAACATCAATCGCTGTCAGATATCAGTATAAATATGGGACACAAGGGCATCCGCACAGCTCTGAAGGTCGATCTGGATAAGCCAGCTTGGGAGCAGCCTGGATTACATGTATGTCCTCAATGCCCTGTTCCAATACATCCCATATATATACTAATGAATGCTCCAGAACCGCTGGCACCCCGATGGTAAACTAAACCTCCCGATCATTACATGTAGTATCTTGCCTAACCATATATCTCATAATAGTCCCCTCCTGCGGTAAAATCGCCAACAATGAAGTCGTCAAGATTGAATGTCTGGACTGGACCGGAGGGCAAATCAAAAACAACGACTCAGCCGACGACATTAAGAATGTTGACCTGACACAGATTCATTACCTGTCTGGTCCGTTCGACATTGAAAATGCCGAACCCGGAGACGTCCTTCTGGTAGAAATCCAAGATGTCCAGCCCTTTCAAGACCAGCCTTGGGGGTTCTCCGGTGTGTTTCATAAGCAGAATGGAGGAGGCTTTTTGGACGAAATCTATCCGGAATCGTATGAAAAAGGCCCCTACTGGAATTCCCTCCCCTTCTCTTTGCACAGATCTTTAAAAGAGACTAACCTATAATTGTAAAGAGCGAAGGCGATTTGGGACTTCGAGGGCATCTTCTGTTCCTCTCGTCATATCCCTCATGTACGCTTTGCCGGCCTCATTCATCCTGGTATCCTAGGATGTGCACCCTCCGCGGAGGTCCTTGCAGAATGGAATCGCCGTGAAGGTGAATTGATTGCCGCCAATACAACCAGCCGCGAAGTTGCGAAGCCACCTGAGCCTAAAAGCGCACATGCTGGGAGCGCGGAAGCCAGTCTCAAGGAAAGAATCGCAAAAGAAGGAGCGCGAACTATTCCGGTATTTGCCAGTCCAACAAAGCCATTACTCGGAACTAATAAAAGCAGGGTCGTCCTGAACATGGAGGAAACTGTGACATCAAAAACCTCTCCAGGGGCTCGAAAGTGTACCTCCCGGTCCACGTCCCAGGAGCTAAATTCTCCGTAGGAGACCTACATTTCTCTCAGGGTGATGGGGAAATCTCCTTCTGTGGCGCCATTGAAATGGCCGGGGTTATTACTCTTAAGTTCACCGTGATGAAGGGCGGCATGGCCAAGTTAGGCATGAAGTCGCCAATCTTCCATCCAGGACCGGTTGAGCCTCAGTTTGGCCCTGGCCGATATCTCACCTTCGAAGGTTTCTCCGTTGATGAGAACGGGAAACAGCACTGCCTCGATGCTACCGTTGCCTATCGACAGACGTGTCTCCGCGTGATCGAGTACCTTCGTCGGTATGGCTACAGTGACTACCAGATTTATTTACTGCTTAGTTGTGCTCCGGTTCAGGGCCATATTGCTGGTATAGTGGATATCCCGAATGCCTGCACCACGATGGGGGTGCCGATGGATATCTTTGATTTTGATATCAGACCTGAGGCCGAGGTTGTTCAATTGGATATGGGCAGCTGTGCATTTGCTAGCAACTAATCCAGTGATGGATCGACTGTGTGGTGTCAAATACAACGATCACTCAAATGAATCATTCAAGGTCACTTTTTGTCTTCCCTTATCTTGTTTAACTTATTAGGAATATGATCATCCTCAACGGATTCTGCCACGAAAAGCGCCTATTGTCAAGCCACAGTCTGTGCTATGGAAAATCGTGGGTATCGTTCATTATGGGGAATACTATGTAGTTCTCTGTAGAGTAGTCCTCCTCCATGCGGCGTTTACTCACAGACTAAGGTTTCTACTTTAGTAAAGAATATCATGATGGTGGAAAGCTGCCTCATTTCTCATGGATTCTTCCATGAATTCATAACTATCCTATCTAGGCTAGCTCTTTCACACTTGCTCGGTGTTGTGGACCCACTTACTAGTAGTAGCGGCCTGGAAGAACCCACTTTCCGGGCCTTAGGGCGCCACCAACAGAAGATATACTTTTAGAATGCTGGGCTTGGCTTGCATAGGCATAAATTATGCAGTGGTTGGTATACAGCATTCTGACAGGAAATCATTTCTTGAGTCATTGGGTTGGCTGGACTGCTGAAGAAACATGAAAAGATCGTCAGTTCTAGGCAACAATAATTATATTCATTTGAAGCAAAACTGGATCAAGTTGTTTCACGTCGTGACTCATCTTTCACTCGTCTATCTATATAAATCCATGCCAAATGTCACTTCTGGGCGCTCCCATGCAGGATCAAGATGAGGGTCATCGCAACCACCGAACAAGTACTGCAGCACCTGCAGTTCGCCGCCTCTGTAATAACGCTGTTATTTCTCTTCTCCTCTTTCCTGGTTAACCATGGACACTCTACAATTGAAAAGACGTCCCGGCCGCGCAGATCTGCTGTCATTGTCGGTTCAATCGGATGCATAGTCGCATACTATGTTACTCAAGTCATCATTGTTTTCCGAGAACGCCATGAGCATGTACAAATACAGAACCGTCTTATGCTTCCGATAATCCTGTCCTTGGCATGGGGTTCACTCGTCACACGCAGACATTCTTGGTTGCCAGAATTAACCGGCCTCTGTGTCATTTCACTCGTCTCGGGGGTTCCTGTCTTGGTCCTTGATACAATATATAGATCCCGTTACACCAAACGCCAAGCCCTGCTTGTTGCGGAATCTCTCCCACTGGTTCATGGGGGTGGCGTGCTGGTATACTGTGTGATCGTATATTTGCGCTTGCGGAGAGCGAGTGCGAGGCTCCTAGCCAAGGACGAAACGAGGTCCAGCCTCAGCAACTCAGACAGTTCCATAGCATCCGAGCGATACCGTGACCATTGCAGCAACCTAGACTCGGACTCGGACTCGGATACAGACAGCTCCGACGACGAAGACGAGGAAGATCTTGACACTCGAATCGGGGAGCTTCGCAAGTCAGGTCATTGGATAGACTATCTCTCAACCTTCAAAGTCTTTCTACCGTTCCTCATCCCGCGAAAAGATATCAAAGTTCAGTTGTGCTTTCTGGTCTGTGTGTTATGCTTAATCACCGATCGTGTGTTGAATGTGGTGGTGCCCACGCAGCTGGGTAGCATCGCGAACAAGCTTTTCACACAGGAGCTTGCTCTCTCAGACCTCGGGATATACTTTGCTTTGAATATTCTCCACGGGCAATCAGGGTTGGAGATGCTAATGTCACTGGTTAAGATTCCCATCCAGCAGTTCTCTTACCGACAGCTCACCAACGCTGCCTTCAGTCACGTCATGGATCTCACGATGGAATTCCACTCTGAACGAGACTCTGCTGAGGTCATGAAGTCTATTGAGCAGGGCGGCGCGCTTACGAATGTCTTGGAAACCAGCTTCCTAGAGATAGCTCCAGCGGTCATTGACCTATTTGTTGCGTTTGTCCTTCTTTACCTCAAGTTCAACTCACTGGCGGCATTGTGCATGCTTATTGCAACGCTGACATTCCTGTCATTGGAAGTCGCTGCATCCCGCTGGAACGTCGACAATCGTCGGCAACTGACTAAGGCTGAGCGAGGCGAGGCGCGTGTGATGCATCAAGCTATTCAGGGATGGCTAACGGTTTCGTCATTCAACATGTTCGCGTATGAGAAATGCCGCTTCGCAGAGGCAGTCGATGAACACCTCACTGCAAAGCGAAAATGGTCTTGTCGAGATGTGTACTCGACTGGTTTGATGGAGGCATGCTTTCCTGCTTCTTTTGTAGTCCTTGCATGCGTCGTTGCCCATGAGGTCAGTCAAGGCCGGGCGTCGCCCGGAGACTTTGTTTTCCTAATACAGTACTGGGACTATCTCATTTGGCCGATCAAGTACTTGACCAAGGATTACAGGTGGTTGATTGCAGACTTGATCGATGCTGAACGGCTGCTCGACCTGCTTACCACCAAACCGACGGTGTCTGACAAGTGCGATGCTTTTGATCTTGGACCTGTTCAGGGGTATGTTGAATTTAAGGATGTGTGTTTTTCATACAACAACAAGCAACCGGCTGTCCATGACATCAATATCTCTGCAGCTCCCGGGGCCATTGTCGCCTTGGTTGGCACCACCGGAGCCGGAAAGTCTTCGCTGGTGAAGCTATTACTTCGCCATTATGATGTAACCTCCGGGCGTATCAAAATTGATGGCCATGATATTCGCGATGTAACAAAAGGTTCTCTCCGGGATTCTATCGGTATTGTACCGCAAAACCCTATCCTTTTCAACGCCTCGATTATGGATAATATTCGATACGCCAAATTGGATGCTTCTGATGAAGAAGTCTATCGAGCATGTCAAGCGGCTGCAATTCATGACAAGATTCACTCTTTCGCAGAGGGCTATCAAACCAAAGTCGGGGAGCAGGGTGTCAAATTATCTGGCGGCGAGGTCCAGCGCTTAGCGATTGCACGAGCTATTCTGAAGAACCCACCCATTCTCATATTAGACGAGGCAACCAGTGCTGTAGACACTGAAACAGAGGCCAAAATCCAAGAAGCCCTGAAATATCTCATCAAGGACAGAACAACTTTCGTTATCGCACACCGGCTTTCAACTGTAGTCAATGCAGATCGCATCTTTGTGCTGGATAATGGTAGCATTGCTGAAAGTGGGACCCACCGGGAATTACTTGAAAAGCAAGGGCGATACTACAACCTCTGGCATACACAACTGCATGAAAATGAGGATCCTATGATGATAGATCAAGAGGCTACAGACTGAACCAACCGTACTAGGGTGGTGCCTCTTAAAACTACTAAGATTGCCTGAACTAGCCATATCTATCATGTTAGAGGATAGCACACCATGGATACTACCCAGGCCAGTTCCCTCTTATCAGGAGGATGCTCATCCTCTGGACAACTTACCGAATCCGCCGCATGTCTACATGAAATCGGCCGATGCTGCTATTCTTGGGGAGTCGATGCTCCCTATCTTTGGGTGTACTGGCTACACTATCCCTATTGGAGAGGTACCTTATAGGTCGGCAGCTACGCTTGAAGACAGAGATGATGCCGGTGACAATTAACTTGGTCGTGATGTGGCTCTGTGCTCTTTAACATGATTGAGAAGCTAGTTGATGCGGTCATACTACAGAGTGTCAGTACTGGGATGACATTATTTTAAGATGAATTGAAATTTGGTGAGCTTTCGTAAGTATGCAGCCCGAAGAGGCAGTCTATCATTGTTAACTACAACTTGCATTTCTCTTACGTTCAAGGAAGGTTCAAGTATGACTGAAACCTATCATATACTACTGACGTAGCTCAGAGTCTGATTTTGCTTTCATTGTCTAACCAGTGGGAGTAAGTATTCCTTTCATGCCATAGCTTCATGTCATTGATATTGTAACAAGCTATCAAATAGCTTCGTACACATTGTGCTCAAAGCCGACACTTGTCGTCGCCAATCTTAGTCCACTCATTCTCTCCTACTTTCTGAAAATCCATCACTTTATTCGGACCTCCAAACCTATTCTGCGTATCCTTCCAGTCTCGTTCGGTGGCAATTTCAGGTCTCCACCGTAGTGCATGCTTCAGTTCCTTTTGCAGGTGTCCCTCCAGAGCATCCGTTATGAATCCACCAATGGTAGACATTTGCATGGCTCCATTGCCAGATCCACCGACCGCAAGCAGCAAAGAGCGGTACTCGGGATGTCTATCGATCAAGAAGGCGCGATCCACTGTATCAGCATCCCAGCATATACGAGCAAAAGACAGAGGCCTATCGGCGAGATGAGGCATCGTATCACGGAGGAAGTCCCTTGCCCGGGCCTCGGCTTCGAGAGGAATTTGATGCTTTGCAAACGGAATACTGCGCACCTCGCCGCCATGCTTCGGGTCCGGGATGAAGTTGCAATATCCAGGATGCTCGTCGCAGATCTTAAGTTCATGTTTATCCTCATCGGGTTCCATGAAGAATCCCTTAGCAACGTTGAACAGCACAGGAAGGTTCCGATATTTCTTAGCCTCTTCGGGCGTCATTTTAATGTGGCAGAGCGTCCATGCGGTAGGACGGAGCTGTTTCTTAAAGTCCAGGAGACGGTCACTGCCAGCCCCTGCGGAAAGGATGGTATGTTCTGCCCGGTGAATGGTGCCGTCCGCCGTTCTAGCCCCGGCCACGTCTCCGTTCTCGTAAACTAGAGATACTACGTCTCCTTCCGGGGAGCCGGTGATGAAAGTGACTCCTAGACGCTTCGCCTCGGTGTATGCAGAGAACATGGCCTTCTTGGCGTGGATCCATCCAGCACCAGTCTTGTTCAGCCATCCCTTCCAGCCGGGGAAGTTGCCGGTAAGGATGCCGGGGGGCATGGTCTTGCGGAAATCCTCTGCAGTGTTCAGTTTTACGAACTCTGCGTCTGACGAGTCGATCTCGTGTTCTTCTATATGTTTAATCAAAGAGGGTGTGTGGCCGGAGACAATTGCCCCCGTTTCGTGGAAGTATGGTTGAAATACCGGATCGGTTTTCCAGCCTTTCAGTGCAGCTCTTGTGCATGTTGAGAAAGCGATACTCCAAGGATCAGTTTCAGAGGCTATTAGATTTTCCGCTGGGTGAGTGAACAGTCGGTTTAATCTGTGTCACAGATTTCACGTACCTTTAACCTCTCTGTGCTCCATGATTTTGTTAATGTCATTGCCAGCTGCGATGGGGGAAGGGACCGGGTGCGGATCTAGGACCGTGACATTTTTGTAGCCTCGACGGGCAAGATGTAAAGCAGTAGAACAACCCCAGGTCCCTGCGCCGACAATCAGGATAGATGATGTGAGAGTCAAGTTGGAGGATGCCATTGTTGTGCTATTGAGGGCATAAGCAGGAGGGATGTTGTTCGGAAAGGTGTTTACAGAAGCGCAGCGGAACTACTTCCTCGTTTTTATATAGGCAAATAAGTCATGCCATTAACAAGTAGAGAAACCAGCCGGCCATCCCGACAGCTGCACCAGGTAAAGCCTAGACCATTTCCTGGAGCAAGAAATGGCAAGGTGGCCTTATCAACCCGACATGGAATATATTGAAGGGGAAGACAAGAAGTATGATGCATGGATGAGTGAAGTGGTCATCCCAGTGCCCAATATGATTGGATGCTCGTGAACAGCCCATCACCTGATTAGGGTTAGATTGAGAAGAACCGCTTGGACCTTCCTCCCTTTAAGCTATCGCATCTTCTCCGCATTTTCCATCAACCTTGTACATCTTTTATAGCCATCCTCACCATGGAGCAGAGATAACCCTTGCTCAAACGGGTCAATACCCGCATGACTGTCCCCGCGTTTTATCGTTCGTGGCAAATCTAGATATTAATCCACCCAATTGTGGACCACAAGGCTCTCTCCGCACCAGGTCCCTTCTAGTATCAAATTCCCGTTGTATCATGACCAGTCGGTTGGAGCTTCCCTCATGTCGATCACTTATCGTATTCTCCCCCTCCTGTCGGGTGGATCGTATACTACTTATCGTTCTAGAGTATCTTCATGCATTTGCCCGGATATGGAATCGTAGACCTCGGGACATATCGTGCGGAAGGGAACATGGCGTATGTCGAGCCGGATAATCTACTACATCGCCTAGACCTATCGTAAGTAGCCGGTAAAGCTTCATTAGATAGCTCGGCAAGCTCGTCCAATGATTGGAGCTCTGGGATACGATGAACGGGATATTGGGTGCACTTCCCCTCAGAGGAAGTCTACAAAATTCGCCGCTGCGGTTGTATTTAAGGAGCTATGCGTCCCCCAGGAAGGAGGCGTGTTCACAGCTGTTGAACGAACTACAAACCCAACATGGCTCCCACTGACGACATCCTGACTGATGTCCCGGGAACCGTTTACTTGGTTGACAGTACGTGTACATCTACTTTGAACTGGCTCTGTATAGATCTTGTATTGACTATTTATGTAGCATCCGGGAACTTGGCAGATGCCGCGCATGCGAATGATATTCTTCTGATCCCCCAGCCATCATGCTCCGCAGCTGATCCTCTGGTAAATATATGCCCTTTAATTAGCTCACCAATGACTAAGATGGGTTATAGAACTGGCCCAAGTACAAAAAATACTGGACCTTATGCCTGATCTCCGCCTATGCATGCGTGAACTCCTTTGGCGAGAATAACTGGGGTGCATCATGGACAACTATATCCGATGAGACCGGTGTTAGTCTCGAAAACATGAACGGCGGCTCCGCCCTCAATTATCTCATGCTTGGCTTCTTCAACATCATCTGGATTCCGACGGCCATGAAGTTCGGACGAAAGATCGTCTACATCCTGAGTTTGATATTTGTCGGCGCGAGTGGTATCTGGGGTGCCTTTTATGTTGGAACGGGCCAATATTATGTTATGACGACTATTAGTGGAATGGGCACAGCAGCATACCAAGCCCTAATTCAGCTTACGGTTAGTCCCATTTCTTGGTCTATATGCTGTGCACTGCTAAGTGAGAGAAGATTTTCGATACGTTCTTTGCCCACGAACGAGGTCGAATGATCGCGATTTACATTTTCTTCCAGCAGCTGGGGTCCATTCTCGGGCTCATACTGGGAGGATATATATCCGATGGTATTGGATGGAGATGGAGTATGCCCATTGTTGCAATTGCCTGTGTGAGTACACATATCCTCTACCTATCACCAGATCAATAACTCATCGCGTCTAGGGAGTCCTCATCTTGTTGTTCATCTTTACCTTCGATGACACCATGTTCCCGCGCTACCGCTTCTCAGAAAGAACACCATCAGAAACCTTGAAAGGTGAACAGAGCTATGAAGCTTCACCTGAAACGCAATCCGAGAAGCATCAGAAAGAGGAGCCCCATATGTCAGTTGCCCCGAGCAATGGCGCGGGTGAAGTGGACATGCCACCACGGACATATATCCAGAAAATTGCTCTCGTGCATTACTTTAAAGACGACCGGACAACATGGTTCCAGTATTTCCGACGACCGTTTTATCTCTTCGCGTTTCCGAATATCGTCCTAGCTGGTATACAATTCGCGTTCGGATGCACAGCAGGAATCGTCTCATTCAACACCATTTCCGAAATCATGACAGAAGCTCCATACAACTGGAGTAACGGTTCAACCGGCCTATTGTTCCTCTCTGCTCTCATCGGCAGTTTCTTTGGGTGAGTAATAACCACCACCTTCTTTATTCACTCCCTGTCTTGTTGTGAACAAAAGCTCATATATAAACAGGATGGGCATCGGATCCCTATCGGATTGGCTCGTCCTCTTCCTAGCCCGTCGCAACAAGGGTTACAAAGAGCCAGAAATGCGACTCTGGGCATACGTATTTCCACTAATATTCGCAGCCTTGGGTTACTTCATCTACGGCTGGGGTGCTACAGCAGGGGCACATTGGATGACCATCGCCGTTGGTTTGTGTTGCATGATAGCTCAACAAGTCTCAGCAACCAGTATTGCAACAGCTTACGCCATGGAATGTTTCGACAAGGTATGTTCCTAGCGGATATCATAACTGAACCCATCCGGTCTTCACTAACTAACCATGTACCTAGATTTCTGGTGAACTGGTGATCGTACTCGCCATATGCTCGTCTGTTATCAACTTCGCCATCTCGTTCACCGTACAACATTTCATCAATGCCACGAATTATGGCTGGGCCTTTACCTTTTATGGTATATGTGTGGTCCTTTCTATGGCGATGGGTGTGCCTATGCTTATCTGGGGAAAGAGCTGGCGCCGACGGGGCAAGGGGCGTTATGAGAAGTTTCTGGCTGAGACGGGTCGTCAATCTTGATATATATCGTGCCAGAGTACATGGGCTGTTTGTTATCTTCTTGTTATCTGGTCTTGGCGTTTGTTTAAGGGTACGTGAAGGCTGTTGAACGTCCACCGGTGCCTGGAAGATACCAGATATTCGTACTTTCCATTGATCATTATTTTATTGCTCCGTTATTAGATCTCAGAAGTTTCCTAGTTTATGTTAACTGTTGGATATGACCCGCTAAGCGAACAACATCCGCATATCAAAACTTAGGAAATAGCAAGTCAATGCGCCGATTTCACCATGCTACCGAATACCAAAGACATGGTCTTTAGGGAAGAGGCCACAAAAGCCGGAAAATATTGAAAATGACGATAGAAGGAGAAACGAATACAGGAGCGGTGCGACTATCTAGATGACGCAATCGAAACGTCGCTTTTATGCAGAAGGAAAATAGAGTGGTTGGTAGTAGAAACGTTCATGAATCATCCATGGCATTATCGCGCTTATGAGAAGAACCTCTGCGCAGTGGCGCGTTCCTTGGCCTGGCGGTCCTTGATGGCCTTCTTGACCTTAGCAATTTCGTTGGTGATGCCGGCGTCACCGGGGGCTAGCTTCTCGGCTTCCTGGAGGTCCTTCAGAGCCTCGTCCTCTTCTTTCAGACCGCTGTGGGCTACGGCACGGCGGTAGTAGGCCTTGGCCTTGTCGGCATCCTTCGCATTGGCTGCGTTGGCAGTATCCAAGGCGTAGGTAGCCCAGGTCCGACCGTTTCCATACTGTGCCAACTTGTTGGCCAGAAGAGAAGAGTTGGAGTGCAGGGCAAACCGGAGCGCCTTGATCTGGCCATCAAGCTCCTTAGGGTCATTTTCAGCAGGCTCGGGAAACTCGAGCAAGTAGCGTAGGCCCTTCTGGTACTTCTCCAAACCAAGCGCAAGGTTACCGCTCTTGAAAGCACCGTTTCCGTAGTTCTTCAATTCCGACGCAATCTTGAAGCAAACCTGAGCATTCAGCTCCTCGCCCTGGTGGTCATCGGGAAAATCCTCGTAGGGGTCGCCGGTAGCATCAGGGGTTTGCTTGGCAGCATCATCGTAGTCCTGGCCCGTGAGCTCACCACAGTCGACAATGGTGACGTCCTTGACAGGCTTGTCTGCCTGGGTGTTCATGTTCTCGACCTTGCGGACGACACTCTTTCCGTTGATCACTTCACCGAAAACCACGTGCTTGCCATCCAGATGAGGGGTAGGGACGGTAGTGACGAAGAACTGACTGCCGTTGGTGCCGGGGCCGGAGTTGGCCATGGAGAGGAGAAAAGGTTTGTCATGCTTGAGCTCAAAGTTCTCGTCGGGGAATTTCTCGCCGTAGATCGATTCGCCGCCAGTGCCATTAAACGCAGTGAAATCACCACCCTGGATCATAAATTGCTTGATCACACGGTGGAAGATCGAACCTATGTGGTGGGGGTTAGGACGTATGCGCCGTGGGATGCAGGAGCGGGGTTACGCGCCGTACCCTTAAAATGCAATGGCTTGCCCTGCTTTCCCATGCCCTTCTCTCCGGTACAGAGCGCACGGAAGTTTTCTGCGGTCTTAGGCACGACTGTACAGGGTCAGTGTTTGTGTAGCGAAGAAAATTTCCATTGGCAATGGGACCGACCATCATTGAACTGTGAAAGGCGGGGTAGTTAGCAAAGGCTGCTGTACAACCATGAACGACGGGGAAGGGGTTGTGATAATTATAATTAACCTACCAATTCCAGGGCAATACGGCCAGTCTTTTCATTGCCAATCTGGATGTCAAAGAAGACACGAGGACGACCTGTATTTCGAATGCGATCAGTACTAGATTTGCGATGTGAGGGCGGAACCCCACAGCGGAGAAAAAGAGCAAAACGCACGCTGAGAGTCAGCCATGATGAGCAGTATAGGAGATACAAAGGTAGAACGGCGTAGATAATTAGGTTGGAAAAGTGGATCAGTGGATAGATTGAGGTGATTCAGGTAGAGGAGTCAGTAGGAGAAGAGGGGAAGGGTGAGGTAAAGAAGTGGACTGGAGCTGAAGGTAAGAATGGGAACGAGTGATGCTTCAGGAAGCTTCCATTGATCACGGGTCTCCGCACCATGCAATTCTTAGCACAATAATGCTTAGTTCTTCCATTCATGCAATCTAGACTACTACTAGTAGTGATTCAACAAATCATTCCATTGAGGCACAGTCGATCATTGGCGGGGCGTTTTTTTTTTTTTTTTTTTTTATGTATCATGGATCTCAGGATCATTAATGACATTCATTAATCTCCCTCCCAAAGTTCTATCCAATCTATGTACCAACCCAGGGTATAAAAAATAAAAGCAAACGAAAGACCGTTGGGGTAAATAAGAAACGTGTCATATACATAATACGGAAATATAACCATTATTGCAACAACTCAGGAGGTAGGTTAATTTCGATATTCTTCTGAACCTGCGACGGCTCTTCCTTATCCGATTTCTCCTTCTTCGGCAACTGTGTATTGATCTCGATCGTAACCTAATGATTTCCCTATCCGTTAGTGACCCATTCATAGAAAGGTTAAGGAGCAGCAAATGAACGAGCAATAGCTATACCGCTGCATCTTCACTGCGGTAATCTACACCCACCGGCCCATCGTTCTTCAATTCGACCTCCATCATCGCCTGGAAGATACCGTTCTTTACCCGTTCGGGCTTGTAGGCTTCCCCCAGTCGTCGAAAGAAGTAGTCGTACAGTTTGCGAGCAGTCTCCACGTCAGCGGCGTCGTGGAAGTCTGGTTGCTTGCCCTTTTTCAATTGGCCATAGAGTGTAAATTGCGACACTGCGACGGTCAGCAAGCACAATCTGGATACAGTCGAAGCATAATCACATACCGCAGAGAATCTCTCCTTCAATATCCTGAACATTTCGCTTCCACTTCGCACCGAATGATATCCGTCAGAACCAATCCGTCTCGTTACCGACAATCCAGTCGGCTAGTGGCTTACCTGCTTATCTTCATCGCCTGGGAACAACTTGGCTTTCAGTATCCGCTGTATTAACGTATCTGCATCCTTCTCTGTGTCCCCCTTGCCAACACCTGCCAGAACGAGCAGACCTCTACCGATTCTAGAGACTAGCTGGCCATCGACTGTAACCGACGCGGATTTGACTCGCTGTATAACCGCTGGCGTTCGTTTAGTGAAGGTACTCACTCTAGAAGATGAAATGGTGACGAACCCTTCATAATGAGATTATCTGACCAATCGGCGCATGAAATTTGTCGCAAGTGGAATAAAGAGGGTTATAAGGAGTGCGAATAAACTGTAGTCACGGGCATGGTCAGCTCGAGAACACAGCGCTCGAGGGAACTATGGATCTGTAGCGGCTTGCTGTAAACGGAGCTTTCACTTACCACGGGAATTCACAACACAGGTGGGTTCAAGGTCGGCGACTAGAAGATCACTAACTCGCATATGCGAGGTGAATCAAAGTAGTCGGGTATTCTTATAGAAACTTGAGGCAAAATGATCGGTCAAGGAGGAGGAGTAGCGAAAGGCAGATAATCGGAGGAAAGTTAAGTGGTTCCCGCACCGCACTGAAATAACCTAAGGCACACACTTAAGGTATCTATGTACAAACCGATTTCAATACTGAATTACGCCGCCCGTCAAGTCTTGGCGCCAACTGAGCTCTTCGACAGGCGCTGAATCCATACCACATATCAGGAGATTGTCTACCCTGCACCCCCAGGACTTCTCTTGACAATTGATCAATTCACTCCCCCACCGCGTACACGTCCTTCAATTTAGGATAGAGTTGCCCGGCAACCTTGATCCTTATTTACAACGGCGGAATTCTTTGACGTCGACGTTCATACGAATCCCCCCATCCGCCCTACCTTTCTCCGCTTCCCACCCACCCTGAACCCACACCTCAAGTGCAATTTTCAGCCTCCTTCCGTGGTCCATCTGTTCATGTGAACAGCAGCCATGACATCGCGAAAGACGCAACAAGAGATCGACAAGACCTTCAAGAAGGTCGCCGAAGGTATTCAGTCGTTCGAGGGCATCTACGAGAAGATCCGCTCCACGTCAAATCCGACCCAACGGGATAAGCTTGAGGAAAACTTGAAACGGGAGATCAAGAAGCTCCAACGATATCGCGACCAGATCAAGTCATGGGCGTCAGGCAATGAGGTCAAAGACAAGGGACCGCTGCTGGAGCAGCGCCGAGCCATCGAAACTGTGGGCTAACGATTCCCCGACAAATCCTGCCCTCCAACGGCTTATCGGACTTGCGAGTAGCTAACACAGGTGCAGTGCATGGAGCAGTTCAAAGCGGTAGAAAAGGAAATGAAGACGAAAGCATACTCGAAAGAGGGCCTTTCGGCCGCATCCAGACTCGATCCGAGAGAAAAGGAAAAGGTGGAGACAAGTGACTTCTTATCGAGCATGGTCGACGAGTTACAACAAAAGATAGAGGCCATGGAGGCGGAGGAAGAGACGCTGCATGTGCAGATGAAGAAGGGCAGGAAGGACGTCGCCAGGGCCAACCGGTTGGCGGATCTTACGCGGATAACGGAACGACATAAGTGGCATGTCAACAAGCTGGAACTCTTGCTACGATCGCTGCAAAACGGCAACGTGGAGGTAAACCAAGTGTTGGACTTGAAGGAAAGCATAAAGTACTATGTAGAGGACGGGCATAATGTGGACTACTCTGGCGAGGATGAAACGCTTTATGATGACCTGAACCTAGATGGTGAGACTGAGGCACAGTTCGGCATGACAGGTGACAACGACCGGGTATCATCGCAGGATACACAATCTGTCCAGGAGGAAGATCTGGACTTGAAACCGAAACCCATCAAGAGCGAATCCACGGCGCCTCGAAGACCCTCCGCGCAGATGAAATCGCCGCTCCCAGTGCTTGCGACACTACATCCGTCGACGTCCACCAGTGCCACATCTGGGATGAAGCCCGCACCACCACCCACCCGTCTACCTGGGGAAACCCTCAAATACGCCTCCGCAGCGGCCGCGGCGGCAGCTAGTGATAAGAACGGTGTTGGCATTGCTCCCCTCCCCCCACCGCCGGGCGCAAGCCCTGCTTTCCCCGCTGCCAGTTTGGTCTCTAGACCTTCATCGACTGCTTCCCCTAGCGTTGCCTCTGTACAGCCTGTATCTAAGCCGACCGCGACGACAAGTATCGCTTCGGAGGAGCGGTCCAAGACGCCCGCGCTCAGCCCCAATGTCACTGCCGCGAGTGCGTCGAATACAGTGCAGTCGACGCCTGCAACCAGGAAGGCGGAGACGTCAGCCACCAAGGAAGCACAGCCAACGGTGAACGGTGAGGCGAGCAAGGAAGAGTCGCGCGAGGAGGAATCGATATACCACCTGCCTCCGGGGCTGCAAGATCTGATTCATTCCTTCGAGGTGACCAAGAGCCGAGCGGCTGCACAAAATTCCACAAATCCCCCTCCGTCAGTGCAACGGCTCCTTACGGCATCACTCAACACCTGTCCCGAGCCGGCAGATGCTGAAAAACCACGTCACTATAAACCTCAGAACCCGTACAATACCCCTCTTTATTACCCTCAAGAGCCGCTTGCCATCTTCGACGACCCCCGGTTATACGACACGGGGAGGATCGATACAGATACTCTGTTCTACCTGTTTTATTACCGGCAAGGCACGTATCAGCAATTCCTCGCGGCCAAAGCGCTTAAGAACCAAAGTTGGCGATTCCACAAGCAGTACCAGACCTGGTTCCAACGGCACGAGGAACCCAAGACCATCACAGAGGAATTCGAACAAGGGACGTATCGGTTCTTTGATTACGAGAGTACATGGTGAGTGGGGTCTTCTTTTCACTTTTCCTTTTTTTATTAACGATGTTCTCCCCTTTTTTGTCTTTTTTGCATTGAAGTTGTTTTACATGTCGGAGTTCAATCTCCGATGAGTCTCGGACAAACCGCTAACCCAGCACACAGGATGAACCGTCGTAAGGCCGATTTCAAGTTTGTCTATAAGTACCTGGAAGACGAACTATAATGCGGCTTTAGTCTCCTTGTTTCTTTGAGTTCGTGTATGTATGGTAGGCATTCGGTCCAATTATTTGCGGTGTGGTTATGGGTCATCTACACTGGAGACGGGCATTGAGTTTCAGATCGTTCGGGTTGCCGACGGTGGGAGTCTGTCATTTCTTTTGACTTTTTTTTCTTCTCCCTTTTTTTTTCACTTCTTTGTGTTTGCGAGATTTCTTCAGGAACGAGTAAACGACTGGGACTTGCGGGACAGGGGAGTTCTGCGCTGATCTTGCGTGGCGGCTGATGGAATATACAGCCATGTCTTATGCACACACTGTTGGGTTGGCCCCTTGAGGAATGCAACCATCGTCCAGATATCTTTGACCGATGATGATTCTTACTGCATCCGTTCCGTGTTCAGACTCGTCTGGACCGAGTTTGGCGTTCTGGAACCCGTAGCGATCGGAAACAGCGTAGCCCGAAGCAGCAATCCGAGCCGCCGTGTGGCTCACGATCACCCAAGGTTGGACAGATGAAGCCGAGTCTGCATCCGCCGCAGGGAGCGTTTGCCATTGGGATGGTTTATCACTGTCGGACAAAGAAGAAGAAACATGAAACAGTAGTAGAGAAGTAAACGTTCTGCTAGTGAACGGTTGCTGCTATAATTATTGCTCGTATTATTGGACGAGCGGGATGAACCTACGGTCAGCTCTCACGAGTAGAAGTGAGTGGTAGTAGTAGTAGTAGTAGAGAGAAAGAGGTTCTAATGCTATGACTAAGGTTAAGGGCGATCACCGGACTTGGACCTTTACGCTTTCTGTGCCCGACACACAGACAACAAGAAAACAAAGGACAACAATTGATTTCTCCGTCTCTTCCTCTCCGTCTGTGTGCGTCTCTCGCCCGTCCGCCTCACTCACCGTCGAGTCATTCGTTAAACGCAAATTAAAAGCCTCAAAAGATAATTAAATGACGGTCAGACTAAAAAGTACCTCGCATCTTCAAAAATCCCTCACGGAACGATTCAAAGTTCCCCCTGCATGGACTAGTTGAATTACTTCTTACGGAGTGGCTGGTAGAAGGAATAGAATCATCGATCATCAATCAGTCGACTGTGAGTGGTAGTACCAAAGACATCAGCATCAGCATCATCATCCAGGGCTTGTGTAGATACGTCGTAGTTGCAAGTGGGCTGTGCGGCTGTTTTCTCCGTCATCGGGTCGGCACTAGTTGTACCAGTTGGACCACTGGCAGTTGGACCAAGATACCAATGATACTTCCGTCCTTCCATGGATTCAATCGGGAAATCCAAGTTCCCAATTGAATTAATTTCCTTTTGGAATGGAAACGGATTCACTCATTATGTGCTTCTTTTATTAGGAGAAAAGTAAACCTTGATTTTATTCATTGATTTGTGCTCCCCAGACTTTTTTGTGTTCACCGAATCAACCTGGGACTTGGCGCCAAGTCCTGCGTCTCCACTGCCACAAGGCTGTCGAATCGCTGATTTTCGTCCCGAGAGAATCAAAGAAAATGTGTCGGAAAACGTGCCGACCTGGAAAATCAGGTTGGGTGTTCATGGTCTTTCCCCCCCCACCATGTTTAGTCTGTACTGACGGGACTGTCCCTGGTTAGCATCAGGAACAATCATACTTTTCTCTCTATTATACTCATTATACTAATTATAATATTCAACGATCTTCGTAAACTTCAACCGAGTAGAATGATAAAGAAAAAACTAATACTACTACAAAAATAATTAAATCAAAATTAAAAATCAATAAATAAATAAAAAAAGTAATCCAGTCAAACAAAAGTCAGAACCCGAATCGGGTAAAGTCAGGCAGATGACTGTCCAAACCACAGTTACCATCATTGCCATCGTCTCCACCGCATCTCTTTCCATCGTCGGAGATAATAACAACAATCTCCTCGGAGCACAAATCCCCCCTCCCGCCTACGGTGGATACAGCAACAACCACAAAAACAACCGTCGCTCTTCAAGGGATTCATCAGTGCGTTCTGATCAGGGAGAGGGAATAGGAAAACCCACGGATCAAGCCATTCCTGACGAATGAGACCCGGTCAAAGAAGGCGGAGGGGGACTAGAATGTCCGTTTAGGGCAAGACTCTAGTCGGGTGCCATGTCTGCCTTATTGGCTTTGAAGGGTCCACCTGTACTTTCTTGTGGGGTTTGGATTTAGTGCGCCTGGACGATGATGTAAAGTTCAAAGTTCCAGCAGGAAGCATCATCATCATCTGTGGTGTTACCTGTTGTCAATTATTCCTTATCGGCCCGTGTTTGCAGTGCCCCTGGGGCTGGATCTACCAATCATCCTCTGCCAGGACATCACCGGTCAATTCCACTCATCCCCTAGAAGCCTGGCAGAACCTTCGATCCTTTCTAGCGGCGTTCTTAGTGTCAGCAACGCAAGGACGCTTCACTTCCGCTGCGCCAATGAGACGCATCCGCGGTTCGTGGCAGTGCGTCGCAGACGTTCGCTACTGCATTTTCCCCAACCAATATTCATGTCGATTTCCTGCATGGGTCCCCCCAGCTAGCATTCTTAGTCGTTGATCGTAGAGCTGTTGCTCACCTGATGATGTCGCCATGGATCTTCTTCGTGTTATTAACACGCCAGACGGGTCCCCTAGTCAGACATCGTTGTGGAGAAAGCGCGGTTTGCTTTGCTCTACTCCATGTGCAACGTACAAACCTCGAGATATTGGCCTTATATAAAGACTCGACTTCCCCCCAAACCTGGGGATAACTTACCCACTGGCCTTCAATAAGTTTGGAACTCAACTGCGATTGACTTGACCAACCTACTGGATTCCTTCCTTTCTTTTTCCCAGTATACATCATGTTGCGTTACTCTTCTCCAATGGTATGCAATTGATAGAGTGTTTCCTTTCTATTTTTTCTTTTCTTTTTTTCCTGTTTTCCTTCTTTTTTTCCCCTCTGATTTGCCTATCTAATAATAAATGTGACAATATTTTGATAGCTACCATGCGTACTTGCATAGTACATATCAATAGCATCAGTAACTCAAACTAACCGTCGAATATCAGAACCCTCATGCTGCGGCATGCCCTCCCATGGAGCACTCCTACTCGACCAGCAGTGAGGAGTCCATGCAGTCTCCAATGGGATATTATGATATGTACAGCATGGCGAGCAATGATTTCGAGCTCTACCACGCTCAATCCAACGCATCCTCCTACTCTTCCTCCTACCCATCTTCCAACTATTCCTTCTCCTCCTCATTTGGATCTTCCTACGACTCGGGCTCTTTCGAGGCATCTTCGTACGACTCCGCCTCCTATGACTTTACCACCCCTCCACCCGTCTACTGCCCACCGGATCTCAATCCACCGTTCGCCCCACAGTACTTTTCCTCCCCAGTTCAGGGCACATGGCCCACTCCCCCTGCGCAAGTCGTGCCTGTGGAGGATTTCCCCTACCCCCCACTGGAGACCCACTACACTCCATGCGATACAGCCAAGTAAGTACCAACCGAGGGAATAGGTTCAACCATCTCATTTCGCGGAGATACTAATGGGTCTTTGTCCAGACCGGTGAAGCCCTACGTCTGTGAATGCGGCCGGGCGTTCACTCGACCGGCGGACCTGAAGCGGCACGAGTCCAGCGTCCACAACCCTGTCTTCCAGGACTGTCCGGTGCAGGGATGCATTCGCAAGGACAGCAATGGCTTTCCGCGCCGAGACCATTTGATTGAGCACCTGCGGTCGTACCACCACCTCAATGTGCCGAAGCGCCGTGCGGCTACTAAGCGGGTGGCAAAGGCGGCTTAAGATGCGACACAGTGATGTCTTGGCTTCCCTCTCTCATAAGGGCTTGGGCCCTTTGCGATGGTCGTTCATTGGCTTCAGGGAGGGCAGTGATCTGCCGTATGTGACTGCGTGACATGCTTGGCGCCTCTTCCTTCCCTGGAATGATTTTCTTTGTCTATACCTGATTTCCCCCTGGTTCATACTCTGCATGTCTATGCTTGTGTGCATTATCTTTCCTTCGTCTGCATCGTCCACCATTGACGATCTGCATCCTCTTTTTACTGTGTTTTTGATTCAGGTTCATGTATTGATGACGACTCATGTACGGATACCAGACCGGCGTTACGCGATAGACGGTGCATTGTATCGTCTGGGTTTTGCCTTTCTTCTTTTCTCTTCTTCTGAACACGACATGGGCGTCTCTGAGGGACTCAGGACCACAGACAACATGTCCATTAATTATTTTCCTCTTCTCAGTCCCCCCTTTAATTCTCATTCCCCCTTTAATTCTCATTCCCCCTTTTTTTTCTTTCTTATTTACCTTTCCATCAAGCTTCAAGGTACACAAGACGGCGTCCGGGAGTTAACCCTTTACATTAATCCAATAAACCCACTTATGTAATAACGTTGTACGCCCTCGGCAATTGAGTATCAAATGAGCACTAGCCCTAGGCCCTGGTAGGATTCCGTACCTAAATGCAGCCTTAGCCACCAGACTAAGACCGACACTAAAGCAAGCAAGCAAGAAAGTAAGCCCCAGTCGCAAGAAAGAGAGATACACATACAGACACACACAGAGAGAGAAAGCAAGAGAGCAAGAGATCTCTTTGTTCCCTCCCTTCGGGCCCCTCCCAAATCCATCAATCATCAGTCCCCAGAAAATAGGATTTTCTTTATATACAACAACCACCCCCACATAAACACAGAACACAAACACAACCCAAACAACCCGCCACCATCATATTATCAACCAAGGAAACTCTCGGTCTCCTCCGGCCCCCTAAAAACAAAAGACAAAAAAAAACAAAAGAAAAAACTTCACTGCTTACAAAAATAGTTACACCATCACCTGGGGCGATCTCCAACCTTATTTTTGGCTCCTTTTAGCCAGGTACAGGTCTGCTTCCACTGGGTGGATCCGAAATAATATGGTTGACACCTTTGAGGCCCAAGAATGAGAAACAAAGAAAAAGAGAAGAGTGATCTGCTGCGGCTTTTCTTTCTTTTTTTTTTTTTTTTTTTTTTTTTTTTTTTTTTTTCCCTTTTACCCTGGTCACTGGGAAGTGCCGTAAATAACATCCTAGGAAAAAGTTTGTACATCCTGGTGTTTCATGTTTTCTCTTGCTCTAGACCCATGTTAGTCAGGTACATACATACTTGGATCATTAACCTTGAATGCTTTTTTTTTGTTTGACTGAGTCTTAAGTCTTGGTCTTACTCTGAGACGAGTAAATGTGCTTGGCAGCGACATGACAGAACTGGCATTGTCTTGCATGAAAGAGATAGGGATAGAAACAAGAATGCTTTTTGCTTTGGTGTGTAAAAAAAAAAGAGAGAAAAAAAAAATGAAACAGGTTCTCATTCTCAGTTCAAAATACTTTACATAACTATCAGGATTCTGATACTTCCCAACCATCCCCAAGTTCATTACATATCCCCCTAAACAATTTATCCCATCCCATCAATGAACAAAACACACACATACACACATATTTATAGAGTACAATCACAAAGCAGGAAACCCAACAAAACACTCCCCCTTCGCTCTCCACCGTCCCTCCCCACCACTACCCTTCCTACGACCACTAGCAATACTACTACACGTTCCCATTCCCTTAGATCGATCTTTAGATGACCCAACCCACTCAAACCCCACCCCCTCCTCTTCAAGCATCATTCTCTTCCTCTCCAGATTCGCATGTCCGCTCGCCGGCCCGGCGCCCATGTACCCGCCCAGCCCGCCGTCGGCACTGAGCACCCGGTGACAGGGCACGTCGGGGGCGAAGGGGTTCGTCCGCATGGCGGTGCCGATGGCGCGTGCACTGGAGTTGAGGTGCTTTGCGAGAGCGGCGTAGGTGGTCCAGCGGCCAGCGGGGATGGAGAGGAGGGTTAGGTATACCCGCCGGCGGTGGGGCGTTAGGGTTGGGTGGGATTTTATGCGGTGGATTTGTTTGAGGGTTTGGGGGGTTGGGGTTGAGGTTGAGGTGGAGGAGTTGTTTTTCTGTGGAGATGGAGATGGAGATGGAGATGGAGATGTGGTTGTGGTTGTGATTGTGGGTTGTTGTGATTCTAGTTCTTGGGGTTTGGTGGTGGCCATGGTTGTTCTTTTTGGATTGTTTTTATTATTTTGTTGTTTTGGGGGAGTCTGGAGGGCTGAGTTGGTTAGGTGGTTTTTATTTGCATGTTTTTACTGGAATTACGTACCTAAGTGGTGATGTTGGTTTGGTTAATAAATTATATAGCTATAATGGAGGAAGTGAGGTGGTGGGTAGAAAGTATTGTGGTAGGTTTTGTATGCTTCTTATGATGGATGTCCGTTGATGATGTTGATGATGTTGTGGAATTGACCAATCAGGTTCAGCGTTGGGATCAACCTTCTGGCACTTCACTCGATCTACAATATAAATAGTACCACCTACCAGGGAGTAGGTGATTTACCACCTTAAAGGTATGACTTACAGCTTGTGATATTAGAAAAGAAAATAAAATGTCATTGACGACCAGTCTTTGCAATATGGCGTCGGGTATATCGCACAAGTGGGTATCCCTGATCTACATGTATATTATAGTGTGTTCAACCGTCACCTCGTTGAGTCGTTCCTCATCCATCTGTGCAGAAAGTCCCACCACTACGCACTCAAAGCATGCTCCTCATGTGCATCTGTCGGCTTCCCCATCTCCGGATCTACCGCGCTGTTCTTGCGGTTGGCTGTTTCAATGTACCCCGGATTTTCCGCCTTGAGACGGGCGAAAGTGCGCTCGGCATCCCACACCCATGGCGTCTCGGCAGCAAACAGCAAGTCCATGTCCTCCAGTGTCCGCTGGTTACTCTCCGGATAAAGAGCCCATACCATCGGGATGGTGATGACATTGCTGGCCGCAAATACATACAGCGTCTTTTCGCCGATGGCCTCGAACATCACCGGGCACAACAGAGTCTAGCCAATCAGTCAGTGAGCCTCTCAAACAGCCTGGAAGGCATTTCTTACCAGCCAGCCGTTTCCAATACTCCATCCCACAACACCCCAGGCGTTTCCTTTTGCGCGGACCGCCAACGGATAGATCTCAGCAGGGTAGATCCATGGCACTAGTCCAGTTAACAGAGCCAGCAGAAGTAGTGGAAGCATCCTACGTACCTGTCAACCACGTAGCTCCAAAGACAGAAGTAAAAACGAAGACCATCGACGCTGCGGCAGCGCCAAAGGAGTTAGCCCGAGAGAGATTTCCATCCGCTCGGGCATCAATAGCAAGCCGGGAGAAGCCTCCGGCCAGGAACATGGCGATACCTTGTGCGGTGGATCCCCAATACAAAGTCCACCTACGGCCAATCCGATCGAGCGTGAAGACACATATAAGGGTCGCAAACTAGTCCTGTCAGTCATATCATTGCAGCGGTGTTCTGGCCATCCTACCATATAGAAGACATTATTCAAACCGCTGATCCACTGACTCTTCATCGAGTCGAATCCAGCAATGCTAAAGATAGTTGGCGCATCTACACTCGTCAGTGATGCACTTATGGGAGCTTTGAGTAGACATACAAACGGTGACACCGGCAATGCCGACCCATTCCTGCATGATCTGCAGCCAGACCACCAGTTGAACACGTCGCCCAAGATGTAGCTTGCCTGTTTTGTAGCCGAAGAGCATCGCCAAATAAGAAGTGCTATGGTTCATGCTTTTCTCCATCTCTGCCACGTTTTGGATGTCCCGGAACTCCGCCTCAGCGCGAACTGCGTCTTCATCGCTGCTCCCACGGAGCCGCCCAAGAATGTAGCGCGCTTCTTGCTCGCGACCGACTTTAACCAACCATCGTGGGGACTCTGGGAAAAACCAAACAACGACAAACAGGAGGAGTAAAAAGATAATTTGGAACGCGATCGGGAATCGCCAGCGGAATGGAGACTTCCCCCCATCGATGAAGGACAGTCCACTAGAGTCTATTAGACAAGTCTAGATGCTTGGAAGGTTAAGACCTACAATTCCAGCCAATAGGCTAGGACGACACCGAAGATGTTCAAAGTAAACTCAATTGCAATAAATTGTCCCCGGGATGTGTGCTCGGCAGTCTCTGTCGCCCAGACCGGAACAATTGCGTTCAGAATACCAGTGCCAATGCCATTGATAAAGCGCGCTGAGTAGTTGTTAGCCTGTTAGGGTCTGGGAGGTGTTCACCCGTAGTAGACTTACAGCAAATCATCCAGTTGTGGTTTTGTGCGGAACACTGCAATGCAGCACCAAGAATAGCCCAGAGAGCGCCTGCCGCAATGGTCTTGATCCGGCCAATGCGATCTCCGGTCCAGCCACCAAGGAGTGCACCGAACAATGTCCCCAGATAATAGACTGACACGATTCCACCTTGCAGCAGACTGTTCGTCACAACTGGGGTGAGATAGCCGTCCTTCATCTCGGTGTAGCCGAATCCCATGAGGTCGATGTAGTCTTTCGAGTTGTTGACTCCTGCCATCATGCCCTGGTCGTAGCCGAAGAAAAGAATCGACAACGCCGCAACACTGTTGATGCCGATGAGAAGCTTACGCTTCTCCAATTTGTGGACAACATTCCACTTGGGTATCTGATCACACATGGCGAGAATCCAATGTCTCGAAAATTAACTGCGAAGAATGACTCAATAATCCAACAAAGGGGGCCGCCTCGGGACCCTCCACTTCTTGCTCAAATAGCTTTATAGAAAGGTTGAGAGAGGAATAGTACCGCCAGAAACCTCCCACAGATACCTGTGGGGTGATACGAGGTCTATATATGGGCTTGCCGAAAAACTGCAATCGGCCGATGGCCGATGGCCATTCTGTTCTGCATAGTGATCGACCGGGCCTTGGATGATACTCGAGGCCATTTTGAATCGAATTAGGTTACATTCCGTGTGGGAGAAACCTAGAAGACTGGGTTGGAGACATAGCACATGCAAGGCAGTTGATTTCTCCACCCAGGAGTACGATATTACTCGCCAAACGGCCCCGCAAGAGAAAAAAAAATCTGGAGATAGCGAAAGCCGGATTAGGCTCCAGACCGGGAAGATACGAGTCAAAATCGGTAATCCGGGCGGCGGGAAAGACGATGCCATTGATATTTGGACCGGCTTTCTTAACCGGTAAGGGAACCCGGGAGAATTTCACCGCACTTCATCTTCATAGAAAACCGACTTATGTATCACAGAAAGATTAAACCTGACAGCGCTAGCCGAGGGCGCGTTCGACTCGGTTAAACCCATAGTCGCAGGAGAGTATTTTATTGTGTCAATTGGTGAAGATCGCCTGAAAAATCCGGTCCAGGGACGGTGGTCATAAGTTGAGCACCAATCCGGGACGATGGAAGGATCCAGTATGGGCGTGAAGATTGACGAATACAGGCGTTGGCCAGTGCCATCTTTCATTGCGGGGATTCTGGGGATCTTTTGGGTGGGGAATTTTCAGGGAGAAAAAGGAAAAGATGTTCGGGACTTCCCCGACAATGAGCAGGTGACTCGGAACACCTGATTCCCAGGTGAATTTATTCCTTTTTTTTTTATTCCTTTTTTATTTCAAGGTTGTCTTTCTACAATACCCTATGTGTAAAGCTACTTACATGGATACTATGCGCTAGTCGGACGTTGATTTACCTCCGACATGTTAGGTACATTCTCATCTCACCTAATTCACATACTAGAGTTTACCCGTACGCGATTCAAATAGGAAATATAGTTCCCTAATCTTCGATATCTATGAATATGTGTACCAGCCAAACGAGACCGAAGAACCGGTTTGCGTTCCAATCAACCTCATCGTTTATTGCTTTCCACAGTGAAACAACAGCCCATCTAATGATGTATCTCTTTACTCGTCGGGGTTTTACTCGTCCACGTACGCGTGCGCCTTGAGGGCTTTCTGGAGGATGTCAAGCACCACGGGTTCCTTGCGGGCATTGTATTCCATCACAGTCTCCCCAGCCAATCGACTAGCGGCAGCTGCTTGCCGTTTGATATCTGTATACCTTTGGCGGTCGTCCTCATGGTTGCGCAACCAGTCACGGAACAGTCGATGGCGAATGAGTTCCGCGCTATTCGGACCGAATATATGGATATTCGCATATGGTTCATTAGAACCGAAAAGGCGATGCTCATGCCAGCCAGGTTCGCGAAGCAAGAACTGAAAGCCCGCAGCCTCAAGGGCTGGCACGTAGGAGTCTTCTGCCGTGGGATCAGCAACAACGACGTCAACATCGATGACTGCTTTGGCTGGTAAACTTGGCACGCTGGTGGACCCGACGTGCTCAATAGAGAGAACTCGATTGCCAAGGGAATCAGCGATCCGGCGTGCAATAATCGCAAACGCCTCCGGCCATGTTGGATCTGGCTCCACGATCTCAATCAACTTTTGCGGCCGAGTTGAAACGATTTCGACGGCCGGCTTTTGAGACAACTCCGTACTCTCACTCGTGGAGGGCATCCTGGTAGCAAGCAATGTCTTCTGGTAATATGAGTTCTACCGATGATGTTGCAGCGAGATCATGCTTCTAGTGATCCTGAGGACAGTTTTGCGCAAGATTGCATAAGCTGGATGACTCAGAATAAGATCAATCTTTGCCCCAAAGACTCGTATTAGGCACCCAATAACTGGAGAGCAGCTAGTAACAATAAGGTATAGCCATTTCCCTGGATTCTTAGAGGACAACGGACTTCCATATCGGACCATACTGTCTCCGTATGCTGGTCTTCAGCGATTCGAGGTCATGAACTTCTATGCTTCTTGGCACACCTTCAACTTGCTTCCCGCCATCCTAGTCGCATTGAACGATCGATATTCTCATGTCTGCTTAGGTCAGTAGATGTTCGATTTCGGCTGCACAAAAACTTGAACCCTTCCAGCTATAAAGCCTTCACTTAAAACAACACCTTTTCTGTCCATGTACCTACATGTGGACATTGCACTATTGAAAAAGTCATTCATACTCAACAATTCAACCAACGCGGCCATCAGAAAAAGCCATCAAAAGATTCCTGCATAATAATTATCCCAAATGGCATTTTGGGGTTAGAAGTATCAAAAGGTCTTGTTGTCGGGGAACAGCGAGAGAGACATACTTCGATTACGTTATTTACCATGCAGGTGACTTGGGGCCTCACTGGAAGATGCCGACGATAACCTTGGAGGTGTATTATTGATTCCACGTTACCCGCGGAGAACACACGACTTCCTATACGTCCATTTTTTGCCTTTTTCTAAGTTGATAATTCATACCAAAAGAATGGCCAACATTGCAAGGTGCGAGAGATCTTCACTGAATTTGCATGGGGCTGTTAGTCATCGTAGGTCAAGTGTCGCTTTCCCTTTTAGGCGGTTTATGAGGTATTTATGGTTCACCGGCCCGCTGACAAAGCGTTGCAGATTGCCTTGAATCCCTCCGTACACCACCGTATCGCGTATCGGACCTAGATAGAAGGTCTGGAATGCCTGGCGAGGTTGTCCAGGAGAAGATCCAAGAAGCCCAATGACCTCATGCCCAGTTGAACTATAGATGTCCACTTTGTACAGCGTATGCGCCATACCACTGGGTCGGCAATATGGCAAAGGTTAGCCGAATTGACCCGAAGATCACTGGCCTGGATAATTACATACGCGGCGGAATACCGTATCAATACCGGCCCGCCAGCTTCTGCTGGCAAAACCTCAAGAAAGCTTCTTGTCCCAACATCCTTTTTCCCTATACTATACCCTTCTTCCTTCTACCACCTGCAATTGCTACCTCCCCTTTCCTCTCCACCTACTTTAATTGGAGGATTGGCTGTCCCTTATAATCTCTATCCTTGCAGTGTTTTTCTTCTTTAATTCTCCATCCTTTTCACCATGTTCCGGAGTCTCTTGCCGCGGGCTGCACCGCGGGCTGCCCTCCGCACTGCTCGCCCTCAGCCTGTCCCTTCTAACTTCGTCGCTGCTCCTACCCTCTCCTTCTCGAAACGTGGCTACGCCTCCGAGTCTGGTATGTTTCCGGTCTTTTTCCCTGCGATAAAACAGCCAGAGACAGGGCCTGCGCTTCCGAAAACGACTGAGATAGGTTACTGATGGGCGTTGGGATAGGTGAACATGACCTTGTTATCATCGGTGGTGGTGTCGCTGGATATGTTGCTGCCATCAAAGCCGGTCAAGAGGGCTTGAAGGTGCGCTCAAACGCTCAGTGTACCTCAATCGGAGATTTTTTTGCTAACCACGGAGATCGCCGACAGACTGTCTGTATCGAGAAGCGCGGCCGTCTTGGAGGCACCTGCTTGAACGTCGGCTGTATCCCCTCGAAATCTCTCTTGAACAACTCCCACCTTTACCACCAGATTCTCCACGACACGAAAAAGCGCGGTATTGAGGTCGGTGATGTCAAGCTGAACCTCGAGCAGATGATGAAGGCCAAGGACACCTCTGTGGAGGGTCTGACGAAGGGTATTGAGTTCTTGCTCAAGAAGAACGGTGTCGACTACGTCAAGGGTACTGGTGCTCTTGTTGATCCTAACACTGTCAAGGTGAACCTGATCGAGGGTGGTGAACAGACCCTTCGCGGAAAGAACATCCTCATCGCCACCGGTAGCGAGGCCACCCCTTTCCCCGGCCTGAACATCGACGAGAAGCGCGTCATCACTAGCACCGGTGCTCTTGCGCTGCAGGAAGTTCCCAAGAAGATGGTTGTCATTGGTGGTGGTATCATCGGTTTGGAGATGGTATGATTGCGAATTTTGCGATGTGAGAGGTTTGAGACATCAATCTCCGTACTAACGTTGATGACAGGCTTCCGTTTGGTCTCGTCTCGGTGCCGAAGTTACCGTTGTTGAATTCTTGAACCAGATCGGTGGACCTGGTATGGATGCAGAGATCGCCAAGCAGGCTCAGAAGATCCTGTCGAAGCAGGGTATCAAGTTCAAGACCGGCACCAAGGTTACCAAGGGTGATGACAGTGGCGCTTCTGTTTCTATTAGCGTCGAGTCCGCCAAGGGTGGCAAGGAGGAGACCCTGGACGCTGATGTTGTCCTGGTTGCCATCGGTCGCAGACCTTACACCGAGGGTCTTGGCTTGGAGAACGTTGGTATTGAGAAGGACGAACGGGGCCGCCTGGTCATCGACCAGGAGTACCGCACTAAGGTTCCTCACATCCGTGTCGTTGGTGACTGCACTTTCGGCCCCATGCTTGCCCACAAGGCTGAGGAGGAGGCTGTTGCCGCTGTTGAGTACATCACCAAGGGTTACGGTCACGTCAACTACGGTGTCATCCCCAGTGTCATGTACACTCACCCCGAAGTTGCCTGGGTTGGCCAGAACGAGGCAGAAGTCAAGGCCGCTGGCATCAAATACCGCGTCGGTACTTTCCCCTTCAGCGCCAACTCCCGTGCCAAGACCAACCTCGACACCGAGGGTCAGGTCAAGTTCATTGCTGATGCTGAGACTGACCGTGTACTCGGTGTTCACATCATTGGCCCCAACGCCGGTGAGATGGTTGGAGAGGCTACTCTGGCCGTTGAGTACGGTGCTTCTTGCGAGGACATCGCCCGGACGTGTCACGCTCACCCCACTCTTTCCGAAGCTTTCAAGGAGGCTGCCATGGCTACCTACTCTAAGGCCATCCACTTCTAAGTTCATGTTACCAATTCGCCATCTGTATCTTTTTTAGACTAGCTACGCTAGCAACCTGTAGCATTTGACTGGTTATATTTCCTATGTTGGCTGTGTACTGAGAGTTTATGAATAAAAGACATTATTCTTATCACAAAGTGTAACTGGACGGACGTCTCTGTCGCCATGCGAGACTAGTATGTGATTGTATTTGATGTGATGGCCCGGACTGGGCACCAGTATGAAGAGATGGTATCTAGCTGAATCTCTACCAGCACGGAAGTGGGGGGGCGCGGCGCCCGCCCCTTCATCAGGATATTGCTATGGACTAGTTCCCAACGACACTTAATTAACGCAGACTATTCGGGAATCTGAAACACGTGGCCCGACGATGTAGGCATCTGTCTGCTATGCGTCATAGATGGCGCAAAGGGAAGCACCCATTCCTTCAAAACAGCAAGGAAGGCGTTGCAAACAGCATCCACAGCCTGTTCACGAGACGCTCCACAGCTTTCAACATACACTTTCAAACAGTCAGTCACAGAATCCAAAGGGCCCGGGATGGATATGCCACTTACGCTTAACTTTGGGTTCCGTCCCCGAGGCACGGAACGTAAACCGCACATCCTGGTCCAACCAGAGAGTCAACATCTGGCTCGACTTATCTACTGGCAGCGTAGGCTTGTTGTCGGCCGTGCCGGAATCATGGCCCTCGGTCATATCTCGCCAGCGCAGAATTTTGAACGGTCCTAGGGTCTTCTCGGCTCTATAGGGTCCATTCCGGATAGCGCCGAACAATACCATTGTTGTCTCCGGGTTCGGGGAGCGGAAGTAATTGTTGAGAGTTTCGTAGTGGCCATATTCCTTGAAGAGCTGCTGTAGTTTCATGTAGGGGGTGAGTCCTTGCGATTGCCATTTGGCTTGTGCTGCTAGGAAGACCATCGCTGCTGTGATACCGTCTTTGTCGTGGCAGACGGCTGGGAACATGTAGCCTAGTGCTTCTTCGAATGCATAGGGGACATTGTAGCTCTCGCTTTCGAGGCGTCGGGCAATGTTCCCCATCCATTTGAAACCGGTTAGTGCTTCTTCGAATTGAATGCCCTTGGCTGTTGCCATTTTCTCGAGCATGCCTGTCGACACTGTGGAGTTTAGGACCGCAATGCGTGCGTCGTTTTTGTTCTCCAAGGCGTCAAACAGGTGCGATGCGAGTAAGACTCCGATATGATTACCTGTGAAAGAAAACCATGATCCGCTGAATGTTTGGTCAGATCATCGGTGGTATTCAATGATATCGGAGTGCAGCACGTACTCAACTTTTTCCGCGGCAGCAAAGCGATCCGCATCTGGATCATGGGCAATGATCAGGGTTTTGCCTTCCCTATCAGCGGTTTGCATGGCCAGGTCCAAAGCACCAGCTTCTTCAGGGTTAGGGAATGATACTGTCGGGAAATCCGGGTTGGGTTCTACTTGTTCCGGCACAGGCGTGAATTCGGTTACGCCCACAGACCGGCAGAGGTCGGGGAAGACAAGGCCTCCAACTCCGTGCAGGGGTGTGTAGACAAAAGGTCTTGGTTGTTTCCAGTCAGACACAGTTGAGTTCTATATGAGTGATTAGCGCTGTCGGAAGTAAATTAGGTGATCACTTACGGCGTAATCCCAAACTGTCTTGGTATAGTGAGGCAAGATGGTCTTGTACGCATCGGCGTGTAGATATTCGCATTCCTGGAGATCTTTCCAGGCGCCAGGCCAGGGGGCCAAGTTTTCCTCAATTGATTGGGCTATCTCTACATCAATGGGGGTGTTGATTTGGGCGCCGTTCTTAAAGTAGCTGGGAACATTGTCAGTGATAATTAAATGGAAGAGATGAGCAAGGTGTAACGGACACTTTGTAGCCTATACAAAAAGTGGTTAGTAGGTCAATGCATCAGATGTGAGGGATTGAAGCTTACCATTATCTTGTGCTGGGTTCTACTGGAGAGTTAGTTTAATTTTCAATTTCGGTTTTCTAGAGTATTTGAGGGAAACCCTACATGGCTTGCAGTGATCATAATACCAGCAGCAGCTTTTAAGTGAGTTACCCCAAAAGGCACGGATGGAGTCACAGAGGGTTCGGAATAGAACCAAACCGGGATCTGTTGTGAGATGAAGGCATTCGCAGCCAAAGCTGCAAACTTGGCCGAGTTATGACGAGCATCATGGCCAATAACCACTCCGCCCGAAGCACTGTCCGTATGTTTATCCTTCAAATACTTGGCTAGGCCTTGCGACGCCTGGATGACGGTCAAAGAGTTCATGCAGGAGAACCCTGCCGCCATCCGGCCGCGAAGGCCTGCAGTCCCGAATTGAATTCCTATTGTTTACGGTTAACGTGAACTGGTCGGTACAATAATAACATAGTCATTTATGACATGTCACATACGTTTCTGAAGCCGTTGTTCCAGATCTGCGACAGCGCCGGAATCCCGAAGCTGTTGGATCTCGGCGCGGGTGGTGGGGTCCTGCGACGTTAGAATGGGCCTGAAGCTTTCGGGGTCGGATATTTAAATATCGACGTCTACGTACTTGGTCCCACTCCAGCCATTTTTGAATCAGCGGAGAAAGTGAGTCCTACACCAGTTAGAAATGTGACATAGTATTCGTATGAGGGTGGTGGTTACTACCATTATCGAGAACGAAAGATGATCATAAGATCTATTCTGAAAGAGGTGGTCGTGTAGGAGGAGGCAGCACCGAATGATAGAGGAGGATGCGGAAATGGAGGAATGTAAGTGGACTGATTTAAAAAAAGGATGGGGTGACGATCGACGGCGCGTTTCCCATTCCTCGATAAGTCCACCGCTTCCACCCGTTGCGTACTAACTAATTAGACCCTCTCTCTGCTGCAACCTTCCTCCGCTAGTACTTCCCACTCCTTCCGATCCCTTGCTACCATTTTCCTTTCTCTTTTTTCTTCTTCTTGTTTTTCTTCCTTCCTTACCTACGCAGACCGTATGATGTTGACCCGAACTACTATACTCCACCGCGACTGAGCTGGATACGATCGTTCTCTACATATCATGGCCGACACTCTCAAAGCTGCCGCAACACCGACACCCACGTCGAGGAAGGATACTATCCTGTCACGGCGTTGGATCGAAGGTCAGATCGCCGAAGGCAAGCATGTTATTGTTTACGACGACCGGGTTTTGAAAGTCGATGCATGGATCAAATTCCATCCGGGTGGTGACAAGTCGATTAAACATATGGTGGGAAAAGATGCGACGGATGAGATCAATGCGTATGTGTTTCGGACATTCTGGAATGCTACTTGTGATATACTGGAAAGCCTTCCTGGATCACTAACAACCTTCCGTACAGTTTACATTCAAAGGAAGCACGCCAGCGGATGTTGGCCTTCCAGATCGGACGCATCCAGGGTCCGTGGTTAAACTTCCTCCCACCGATTCAAGGCGGGAAGTTCCGCCCATATACCGAGGCAACTTGCACGTCAGATGAAGACAGTTCTGGTCAGGACATGTCTACACCGCCGTCCCCGATCTTCGACTCAGTTGACGCTAAGCCCGGCCTCCGCCGGCGAAAGTCTGTTTCCTCGGATACATCCGTTTCCACCTCAGCGACCCCGGAGTTTGAGCCAAAGCCGTTCTTTCTCGACGCTCGAACCCAGGAAGAGATCGTCCTGGATGTTGCCAAATACCCGTCTTTGGATACGGAAAGCCAGGAGAGTATCAAGCAGAAGTATCGTGCATTAGACCAGCGGATTCGTGATGAAGGCCTATACGACTGCAACTATTTCTCTTACTTCATTGAATGCTGCCGCTATACGCTCTTTGCATCTCTGTCTTACCTCTTCCTGCGCTTGGGTTGGTATGGAACCTCGGGATTCTTTTTGGGATGCTTCTGGCACCAGCTCGTCTTCACCGCCCATGATTCAGGACATATGGGCATCACCCATCATTTCCACGTGGACAGTGTGATTGGCATCATCATCGCCGATTACCTTGGAGGGCTAAGCCTAGGATGGTGGAAGCGCAACCACAATGTCCACCATATTGTGACAAACGCACCTGAACATGACCCCGATATCGAACACATGCCCTTCTTTGCCATCTCACACCGTTTCCTCACCAGTCTCCGCAGCACGTACTATGAACGTATTATGACATTTGACGCCTTTGCCAACTTCATGCTACGCTATCAAAACTATCTTTACTATCCAATTCTCTTGTTCGGTCGCTTCAACTTGTATCGCCTGAGCTGGGTATATCTGCTGTGCGGTCAAGCGCCGAAGAAGGGTCCTGCTTGGTGGCACCGGTGGTTTGAGATAGGCGGCCAAGTCTTCTTCTGGTATTGGTTTGGGTACGGCGTGGTGTACCGTAGTATTCCCGACTGGGGTAGCCGTCTGACTTTCATTTTGATCTCGCACATGGTGACCGCCCCGTTACACGTGCAGATCACACTCTCCCATTTTGCCATGTCGACGGCCGACCTGGGTGTCAACGAGTCCTTCCCCCAGAAGATGCTTCGCACCACCATGGATGTCGACTGCCCAACCTGGCTTGACTTTTTCCACGGAGGTTTGCAGTTCCAGGCCATTCACCACCTGTACCCACGCATCCCACGCCACAACCTGCGTCGTACTCAAAAGTTGGTTATGGAATTCTGCCGCGACACTGGCATCCCGTATGCCGTTTTCACCTTCTACGATGGCAACAAAGAAGTTATCGGAAAGCTTGGTGATGTCGCAAAGCAGGTCCGTATCCTTGATGAATGCCGGAAGTCGTGCGCCCAGCAGGGCGTCTTCTCAGACCACCACTAGATGGCCACCGTGCTCTTCTAGATGCGTACTGCCCCTCTGATTGACCGTGGTCTCTGCGATCAACCGCATATACCCTGGCCCCGTGTATATATTGCACAGTTGTATATAATCATGCCTGCGGACTGTCTTGGGGTATCGGTACCGGCCACCTGGAAGATTTGATGTCGACAGAGTCGTAATGCCCTATTGATGATGTGATAATGTCCCCTCAGTTTGACATCGGTTATTATTTATATGGATGAGCATCCACTTAGAGAGTAGAGTTATGATCATACTATATGACTTACAAATCCACGTTCCCTTACATACTATACTTGTTCAGATCAAGCCTTTCCATAGATGTACGCTCGTTTTCTCTACTCAATAACGCCCACCATGCGGGGTCTATTAAAGAATGCAGTATGTACACAAACCACGAGGCTCTATGGTCATCATCACAGCATAATGAAAAGTCACCATTCAGCAGCTAGCATCACCCCATCATACCTCCAGCCCGCGCCACTTTCCTCGCTCTCTGCTGTCGACGATTATGATTCGCCCTACTGGCCTTATTCTCCTCCTTCCTCTGCCGCTGCGCGGTCGTATTCCCGTCCCCGGAACCACCTCCCGCATTACCACCACGGCCGCGTCCAGCACCACCACCCCGTCGACCACCACGACCACGCCCCCTACCGGGGCCCCCTCTACCTCGAGACCCAGAGCCAGCCGGCTCATCAGTCTCACTCCCCGACTCCCCATCACCCCTAGGTCCAGGCCTCCGATAAGCTGTCGGTTTAATCTCCGGCTGCGTAAGACCTGTCCCACCAGGCCCAACCACCGAAAGCGATAACCGATCCTCCAACTTCGCCAACCGCTTCGAATCCCGCGCCAGCATAACAGCCCACCCCTCAATAGCCTCATCCGTCATACCCGTCTCACGCTTCAGCGAAGCCCGCGCCTGTGATCGACGGGTTGCCGAGTCCCGAGCAAACAGCGCCGGCGTAGCCTTGTACGTCCGGAATAGTGTTAGATCGAGCTCGTCCGCTTTCTGTTTCGCATCGGCGTCTGTGTCAGTGGTGGTGGCGTCCACGGTGCCACCTACGTCTGCTACGTCGTAGGTATCGTCGCGTTCGTCATCATCTGAGTCGAAAGTCGCCAGCGCAGACATGATGGCCGCTTTATTGGCGGCGTGTTTGCTGCGATCTGCGAGAATGTCGTCTGCTGTTTGGTCTGCATTTGCGCGGCCGAAGTGCAATTTGTCTGTTTCGGCGAGGTCGGCCAGGTCGACATCTTTGTCGAAGACGTTTTTGCGGGGTTGAATTGGTGGAGAAGGGATTTCTGGTGGTGTTGGGCGGGGAGGGAAGGGATCGTGCTTGGGGGTAGTGGCATTAATAGTGGGGAGCCGTTCTGATTTATCAAGGTCCCGGAGTTCAGGGGGAATAGAGTCATCCAGGAGATGTGCGATGACGGTCTCCGGGTTATCGTCGTAGACATCAAGTAGACGGACAATATACCCCGATCCCAGGTCAGGAAAGAGGTCTTGGATCTGTGTGACGAGGGACATTCTGTGGATGTGCATGTCTTCTGCTTGAGGGAGATCTGTGGCAGCGCGGGCTTTGCCTTTGTCGAGCCTTTTCTTTTGTTTCTGGTAGCGGTGGTGGAATACATTTGATTCGGTTTGGTGTACACGCAGGCTGGAGAGGAGATCTTGGCCGCGTTTCTGCGGGTGCGAAATGAGATACCGGTCCAGACGGACGAGGAGATCTGAGCTGCAGATGAGATCGGAGAGGAGGGTGGGTTCCTTCTTTGTTGTGGGTGTGTTGATCCCTGCGCTGGCTTTTAGGCTGAAGAGCTGGTCCAGGAGTAGGGAGAGGTTTGGTTTCGGGCCTTTTAATAGAGATGTAAGGCCGACGTAGACGATGGCGACGAGTACTTTGCGGAAGTCGTCCCTCTTGTGTGCTTGATATGCTTCGCCGCACGTGTCCAGGAAGTCGGAGCCGGCCATCAGCGCCTGGCCACATGCGGGGAGGACAGAGCCCAAGATGGTTAATAGGCGAATGTCAGAGATGATCTTTGGAGCTTGTGCGGGGCCTGACATGGACAGCTGTTTCGTCATGGTTGTCTTTGCCTTCTCGAGGCTCGATGATATCGTTTCTTCATACTTGTCCCATGCTTCGGATAGTAATTTCTTCAGCGCAGAGCTGGAGGGATAGCAGCTGCACATGTTTCCCAGGTACTTCCATCCTAGTAGATCAGGTGGTGACGTGGGCGCGTCCAACAAGAGTCGTCTTGTGAGCAAGAAACATAGCTTCCGTAGTGTTCTTGCTCTCGGCCCCATATGCAAACCCGGCGTACCAGTGCTTGCCAGCTGGTCATAGAATGAAGTCAAGAAGGTGACCGCGGAGTCATCTGTGGATGCATGTTCTGTAAATTCCGCATCGGATGCTTCTATGCGCAGAGTCAGAAGCAGGATCCACGCATCTATATAGAGCTCCCATTCCTGGGGTGGTATGGCACTCTGCACCGCGGGGGGTGGAACTGGTGCAAGAGAAGGCCAATTTGCCATAGCACAGCGGTTCTACAAGAGTAACGACGCAGGAACAAGAAGTATGCTAGAGAATAAAAGCCCAAAACGAAAGTAAAAAAAAAAAGAAGTCAAGAATATATCGTCATCATTAAGCGTGACAATCAGCCCCATATTCTTTATCGCATTTATCAGATGGCATGTCATTGGTGACCTGCTGACTCATCCACCCCGGGCGCCCGATCCGGTTAGCATCAGATAGGCGAGCGCCAAGCCATAGCACCCGCACAAGCGGCGCTAAGCGCACTATCGAAAAAAAAGCGAAAGAATTCACGATAATAATATTTGCGTATCGCCCAGAGCTATTCCAACGGCCATCATCACCTTACCGAACCTCGAAGTTCAGGTCTTGATTGGCAACTAGCCTTACTTTGCGGTTGGTCCCCCCACTCCCACATTTATCTCTTTTTCCTTCCTCCCCTTCTTGCAACTAACCCGTCGACCTCTAGCCATCTCAATCCCGGTCTCCCCACCGCAAACCAACCGTCAAGATGTCTTTCCAGAAGCCCGAGAAGGATTTCGGCGAGGGCCCTGTACGTTGATCCAACAGCTCTCCAACCCCAAGTTCATCTCAAGAAGATGACGGACGACGGGCGGAAGAGAAGCTACGAAACAATGCGCCAGACATACTAACAACCCCCAACAGAAGGTCCACAAGATCCGTATCACCCTTACCTCTCGCAAGGTCGCCTCCCTCGAGAAGGTTTGCTCTGAGCTGATCGACCGTGCCCGCTCCAAGTCCCTCCACGTCAAGGGTCCCGTCCGTCTTCCCACCAAGACCCTTCACATCTCCACCCGTAAGACCCCCAACGGTGAGGGTTCTAAGACCTGGGACAAGTACGAGATGCGCATCCACAAGCGTCTCATTGAGTATGTTACACTTTATCTACCCTTGTGACTAGAGAAGCGGCTACTAACAATGTGATTTAGCCTCCTCGCCCCCACTGAGACTGTCAAGCAGATCATCATCAACATCGAGGCTGGTGTTGAGGTCGAGGTCACCATTGCCGCTTAAATTTACTCTAAAATGTTCTAGTTCAGTTTAGGGAGGGAGTGATATCCGCTCTTGACTGGGGTGGGCGAGTTTGGCGCGTGCTGGGCTTTCGTCGATACCCGCTAGAATCTGGCATAAAAATGGAAAAGTTTGTGGGAAAGTACTCTTTGGTGCTGTTGTACGCTGGCTGTAGAACGTATAGAACGTAAGGAACATGTAGAACTGTAGGACGTGTACTGTTGTAGATTTGTAGTTTGGTGTTGCTTGGCAATCCAGCTCACCGGTTGGCTGGCTGAAGGCGCCCTGTCTTCCATGTGATCGTCATATTAAAAAAAAAGAAGTAACTATATACTACAAGGTTCATGAAGTGCATATCGAAAAATAAAAAACCATGGTATCCTCGATGTTCTCCAGGCCCTAAAAGTCGAAGCTCACCCATTCCGTCTTAGGTGGCACGCTGGGAATAATGCCATCCTTGAAGTATCCGTTTTTCACAAAGAACTCATACTGTTCCGTAACCTCGGGGGTATACTGTTCCGGTTTTCCTGTTGCATCTCTCAAGCTCGCCTGGTCGGGAGGCCCATCCGGGAAGAAGATGCGAACGTATGTTTGGCGGTCCTGAGGATGCAGATAACACGGGTTGTTGTCAATATACTTGACTGGTTGTCCTTTCCACGTGGACAGTCTCTTGGTCATAGGGTCTCGGACCGTCTGGCCAGCTAAGGGTGGAATGGGGCTGAGCTGGTTCGCATCCTCAACCTTGATGATGGCAGGAGGACCAGTGCCTGCCGTGGCGGTAGGTATTGGGGGTTGTTGTTGTTGTTGTTGTTGTTGTTGTTGAGCGGGCTGTGCGAACCCGGATGCTGGCTGGCCAAAGGGTGAAGGTGTGACCTGTGATTGTTGTTGCTGCTGTGGTTGACTGGGAGCCCCGAAAGGATTTGGTGCGGTGGATGGCTGGCCAAATGGGTTTGACTGTGGCTGGGGTTGGGGCTGGCCAAATGGAGATGATGTTTGTGTGGGCTGGCCGAAGCTGCCCGTTGTCGCTGGGGTTGTTGATGGCTGTCCAAATCCAGAAGATGTTGCAGGCTGTTGGCTAGCAGCCTGTGCAAATGGAGACGCGGCTGATGCGGCTTGACCAAAACCGACACCTGCGCTTTGATTTTGATTTGATATTGCGCCAAAAGGAGATGCGTTGGCGGATGTGCCGAATGATGAACCTCCTAATGTTGAAGGCTGCCCAAATGCCGATGGTTGGCCGAAAGCGGGCTGGCCTGAGTTCGGCTGGCCTAAACTGGGCTGTCCAAACGCTGGTTTACCAAACGCAGGCTGTCCACCCGCTAGCCCCGAAGGTTTACCAAAGGCTGATCCCGAACCCAATGTACTTGGTTGTCCAAACCCAGAGCTCTGCCCCAAGGTGGATGGTTGGCCAAATCCCGATGGCTGACCTAACGCCGATGGCTGACCTAACGCCGATGGTTGACCGAACCCAGAGGGCTTACCAAAGGCTGATCCTGAGCCTAAAGCACTTGGTTGTCCGAAACCAGAGCTCTGCCCCAATCCCGACGGTTGGCCAATTCCCGATGTCTGACCGCCTGCAGCTGGCTGACCGAATGCTGAGGGTTGACCGAATGAAGACGGACCTTGACTAGCCGCAGGGCCCGTCTTGCCTTCTGTGATATCAATTCTATTTGGGTGTTCGTTGATACCATCAACGATGTATTTCACGGCACCGCCAAGGTCGTTCAATATGACATCCATCTGTTTCAATGCCTCAGCGTATAAAGCCTGAGCCTCTTGGACTGCCTGCTCTAGACTCCCTGTTGCAGCAGCTTCATAGTGACGCAGCCGCAACTCTTCGAAAGATTGCTCTCGCTGGACACCTCCAAACAATTGCTTTGGGGCGTTTTTACCAGGACCATAACAAGAAAAGACCCATTCTGGACGACCCTTACCGGCAGTTAGGTCGGCCTTGATATCATCTGTTGTGATACCATAGCTTTGCTTGCGTCAGTAGGGAATTTCTTGTTGCCAGAGGTGCATCACTTACTTTGCTGGCTGCTGGTTCTGTTGCGCATTACGACCTGTACTAATGTCAGATACAGAGGATACATGATAGACCGTCAAAAAGCAAGTTAGAAGAGTACTAGCTAATGCCAATTCCAGTAAGGGTGCTCAGGGCAATGAGTAGATTGTCTAACACCCACAAGGCAAAGATCACGTAGCTCACAATATCCCTTGAGGAATTTGTGACAAATATCCATGCACTAAGATTGGAACACGAAACATTCAGACGTTTCAGAGGATGGAGAACAAAGGTGAAAAAGAAAGTGAATCAGAAGGAAGGCATACCTCCGAAGCCTCCTCCTCCACCTCCTCCAGACAGGACTCCAAAGCGGTTCCCTGAGCCTAAACTTGATTGGCCCGGGTGCTCGAATTTGCAGCGTTCTAATTCAATGATCAGTAAATCGTCCACCAGCAGCTAGGAAGTACGAAAGGAAAGACTAGGGGTCGAAGAGGTTAACTCTACCTCCAAATTTACACCGGCCTTGCTGGAAGAAGCTGCAGACCACCATCTTGGCTTCCTTTCTGATATCGGCTTAACTGGAGATCAGAGTTCCCTGCTGGGCTTTTGCAACAAGGTTCTTCAGATCAAGAATGATGCTCGGCTGGATATCAGTAGACCAAGTACATTATCTGATAGAAGCGAATAAAGACAGCATATATATGCGATTAATTTCCTGAGTGAGTTATGAAAGTGGAAGTTTCTTGTTGATGAGCCGCTAGCGAATGAAGTGTTGTTCATCAGCCTGAAGTTTATGCCGGTGACAATACATTTCACCCAGTCGGAGTGCTTCCTGGCCTGCTCATACCCTGGCTGGTGTACGGGACCGGTATTGGTAAATTACAACATCCATCATTCTATGACCTTGGGAAAGAACATTCACTATTATTTGTCTGTTAAACAAGGCCCTTCGATTTTATATCAATCTTCAGTATCCTGATACGGTGCTGTGTCGAGTACTAATATTACAAAGTGAATTTACGAAGGCTCCAAATTCAAACTCCAAATTCTCCAATCTCCAAACCGGATCCATAAGAATTGAAATCGTGTCGCATTTCCAACAAGTTGCGGGCTCATTTCACAAAACTTGGTCATTGCGGTAGAGCTAGTATGTCTGCGATGGTTGGATTCCTTGTCTGAGAATGTCCCAGTTCAGTCCATCGACCTTCTTTCCGCCCAAGGACTCGAGATCGGCAGACAAGTTCTCTAACTTCCCTGTCGCAAGACGACGCATCATGACGCTGTCCTTAGCGCCATGCAACCCCTTTGCATTTCCGTGGAGAAGACAGTCCTCAAACCACTCCTCTTCCTGGTCATCGAAGGGAAGACCAATCAACTCCATAGCGCGCTTGCTCCGGGTCTCGCCAGCTTCCGTCGAATGTACGAATTCAATTAATTGCGTGAAATAATTCTGGCGAAGCAAGTCGTCATAGTTCCGGGTAAAGTAGAAGGCCTCCGTAATGCTGGAGCGACAAAGGGTTCTGAAGAATGCCTTCTGGACCTTTGCGGAAGCCAGTGGTGGACTCACGGTGAGGTAGTACGCCATTACGAGGCTGTCATCGTGCTTTGGAAGCTGTGGTAGGGTGAGAACGTAAAGAATTTCATCGGGAAATGTTGGAATGATGGAGGGTTCGGTCAAATATTCAATAGCACGCTAGATTGACCGATGGCATCAGCAAGCTATCATGGATCGCAAGTCCGGTCTCCTCAACGTACCTTAAATTCTAACCTGTCTAGGTTCCAGAGTCCTTCAATAAAGAAACGGTACTTTTCAGGAAGATGGAATCGCCGCGAAAATTGTGAAGCATAGTCACTGGCCGCGCGGCAATCCTTCAAGAGATAGTAGATCAAGGCCTGCTTGTGATGGATATCCAGTGGGGATGATACGATGTGTCCGAAAAGGGTTCGGAGGTCTGCGTTGGACTTTGGAGGGTATACTTTTGTCACTATATAGATATGCTGGTCAGGAACATTGTACATTTTATCAATGCTTGGTCGATATCACCTGCTTTCACGCCCAGCAGACCTAGGAGTCTGTCGGCGAACAGCTGGTTGTCCAAAGCCCGGCGGTTGGACAGAATCTGTTCAATGGCTTTGCTATCATAGACAAAGTTCTTGTTGAACGAGAATACACTGTCGAAATCTTCCCAAGGCGCCATTTTGGGCCGCGCCACACTCGTGTTAGCTGGGAGGCCTTTTTGATATAAATGCCAAAGATTACTTCTTATCGTGTTGAATCCGTACCATGGTTACAATACATACGGATGACATAATACAGGCGGTGACCGCCAGACTGTTGTGGCAGAAAAACAAGGCTTTTCCTCTTTGGGCGACAATGTAAACAACCCACTTCCACCCACCAGCGCTTTTTCAAACAGCCGGTAACATCACGACACCGTCCCCGTTCACACTCGCCTTCATGAGGCCCTCCTTTGCGGACCATACCACCATAGCATAATGTCATCAATTGCAAGAGGCAGGCCATCCCGGCGCTCTGCTCCTCGAAGAAGCTATGTCATGTCGGAGACATCTGAAGAGGAAGATCCCGGAAATGTGACCCCCACACCGTCCCAGCCTGACGTTGAAGAAGAGAACGAAGACGATTACACCCCAGTTCCCAAGAAACCTACCACAAGGAGACGGTCTAGCAGGCGTACGACAGCTGATGCGCCTGCGCCTACACCTAGCACCGCACGCCCCGCACGAAGGTCTCGCAGGTCGACAACAGCAGAGCAGGAGGAGATGTCGCAAGTTGGTGAATCAAATGATGAAGGGAGCTCAGTTGCATCTGTAGAAGAGCCTGAATCGCCTACACAAAATGTGGCGGCAACGAAAAGAAGAAGCATCGCATCCCGCAGGAGTCGTGACTCCATGACGCCCAAACCGGAACGATCCTCAGTCGAACCCTCCGTGTCACCCCAGTCCCAAGCCCGATCCCAGAGAGCCAGTGTGCCGCCACTCGGCGATATCACCGACTCCGCGGTGAACAAGTCCCCTTCGCCCGAGGACACAAAGTCGCAAATTTCAATCATTAATCCCCATTCGACCGTCCTCGAAAAGCCGATGGATATCATGATGAAGGCGCGCAACTTGGCTCATCCGACAATACCTGAGGAACCATCAGGGCCAAAGAGTCGCATGGTTATCAAGACTTTAATCCTTAACAACTTTAAAAGTTACGCAGGGAAACAGATCGTAGGGCCCTTCCACGCGTCTTTTTCCTCAGTTGTCGGACCGAACGGTTCCGGAAAGTCCAACGTAATTGATGCGTTGCTATTCGTGTTCGGCTTCCGAGCCAGCAAAATGCGACAAGGCAAAATCTCCGCCCTGATTCATAACTCTGCTGATTTTCCAGATTTGCCCTTCTGCGAAGTCGAGGTTCATTTCCAAGAGGTCCTTGATCAGCCAGATGGAGCACATGAAATAGTCCCAGATTCCCAACTGATCATCTCTCGAAAGGCGTTTAAAAACAACACCAGCAAATACTACATGAATGGCAAGGAAACAAACTTCACTGCCGTAACGACCTTGCTCCGTGATCGAGGAATCGACCTAGACCATAAGCGTTTCCTGATTCTCCAGGGTGAGGTCGAGTCCATTGCGCAGATGAAGGCAAAGGCCGCCAATGAGCATGAGGATGGGCTTCTCGAATACCTTGAAGATATTATCGGAACTTCGAAATACAAAACCCCCATTGACGAAGCAGCCGCCGAATTAGAGACGTTGAACGACGTTTGTGTTGAGAAGAATAACCGTGTGCAGCACGTGGAGAAGGAAAGAAATGCTCTCGAGGACAAGAAAGATAAAGCTCTTTCATACCTCAACGACGAAAATGAGCTCACCCAGAAACAGTCGGCGCTCTATCAGATTTACATTGAGGAATGTGCCGATAACATCCGCGTCACGGAAGAGGCTATCCTCCAAATGCAAGAACTATTGAACATGGAACTTGAGAAGCATGAGGGCAATGAATCTGGGATCAAGGAGCTTGAGAAAGCTTACAAGCGTGGCATGCGTGAATACGAAAACATGGAGAAAGAAGTACAAGCTTTGGTCAAAGAAATGGCGAAGTATGACAAGGAGTCCGTCAAATTTGAGGAAAAGAAGAAATTCTTGGTTGGCAAACAAAAGAAACTGGAAAAAGCAATGCAAACTGCCCGTTTGGCTGCTTCTGAATGCGAAAGCTTGGTCGAGAAACATTCTAGTGATATTACCAAGAAGACCAAAGAGACAACGGATCTAGAGAAAGAGCTTAAAGCGGAAGAGGATGAATTGTCGGCAATCCGTGAAAGCTTAAAGGGCAAAACCCAGGGCCTTTCAGATAAGATCACAGCCAAACAGAAGTCACTTGAGCCATGGGATGAGAAGATCAACAAAAAGGTCTCCGCTGTTGCAGTGGCACAAAGTGAGCTCGACATTCTCCGAGAGCGAAGCAATGCCGGTGCTGTACTCCTGGAGGAAGCACAGGGCAAGGTTTCATCTATTGAGGAAACGTTAGCCGCCAAGGAAACCGATCTTGAAGAGCGGAAAGAACAGAAGGCGATTCTTGAGGAAGAGGTCGCGAAGCTAAAGCATGACCTCAAGAAGTACGCCCACAGGGAGCCAGAAGTTCGCTCTCATGTCTCCAGTGCCCGGCAAAAAGCAGACGAAGCAAGAGCTAGCCTTGCAAGCACGCAAAATCGTGGCAGCGTACTGTCTGGCCTCATGCGTCTCAAAGAATCTGGTCGAATCGAAGGGTTCCACGGACGACTTGGAAACCTCGGGACAATCGATGAGAAATACGATGTGGCTATATCTACGGCTTGTCCCGCGTTAGAAAATATGGTGGTGGACACAGTCGAGGTTGGTCAACAATGCATCGACTACCTGCGGAAGAACAACCTTGGCCGAGCCAACTTCATACTTCTAGATCGTCTTCCACGACGGGATATGTCAGCGGTATTCACCCCGGAGAGTGTCCCACGTCTATTCGATCTCGTGAAGCCCAAGGATCCGAAGTTTGCCCCAGCATTCTATAGCGTGATGCAGAATACTCTTGTCGCCAAGGACCTAGAGCAAGCCAATCGCATAGCCTACGGTGCCAGACGGTGGAGAGTAGTGACACTCGATGGCCAGCTCATCGATACGTCCGGTACCATGAGTGGTGGTGGTACCCGTGTTGCTCGCGGTGCAATGTCGTCGAAGCAGGTCGCGGACACCAGCAAGGAGCAGGTTGCAAGACTCGAAGGTGACCTCGAGGAAATGGAGAGGAAGTTCCAGGCTTTCCAGGAGAAGCAAAGACATATCGAGGCGGCGATGAGAGAGAAGTCCGAGGAAATCCCACGTGTCGAGACCAAGATTCAAAAGATATTAATCGAGATTGAGAGCACCAACCGTAGCCTCGCAGATGCCCAGCGGCGCGTGAAGGAATTGAGCGCTGCTCACAAACCATCCAAGACAGATGCAGCCCAGGCTGCAGCTCTGGAGAAGCAGATCGCTTCTCTCGAAGAGGAAATCGAAGGTCTCCGTTCACAAAAGGGAGGCATTGAGGAAGAGATCCAAACTCACCAGAACAAGATCATGGAGGTTGGTGGTGTAAGACTGCGAGGTCAGAAGGCTAGAGTCGATGGTCTGAAAGAACAGATCGGCATGCTTGCCGAAGAGATCTCGAATGCGGAAGTCGGCAAGTCTAAGAACGAGAAGCTTATAACTAAACATCAAAAAACACGTGGGGATGCTGAAGAGGAGCTCGAGCATGTCACCGAGGACCTTGACAAGCTGAATGAGGATGTCTCCAACCAGGCTAACGACGCATCCGGCTGGAAGCAAAAGGTAGAGGAAGCACAAGAAGCCCTCGAGTCGAAGAAGGGAGAGCTCAAGACCGTGAAGGCGGAGTTGGATGAGAAGGTGGCCGAATTAAACGAATCCCGGGCCACGGAAATCGAAATGCGCAATAAGCTTGAAGAAAACCAAAAGGCTCTAGCCGAGAATGAAAAGCGCGGGCGCTACTGGCACGAGAAACTATCCAAGTTGGCATTGCAGAATGTGAGCGACCTTGGAAATGAGGAAGCACCTGCAGAGCTGCAGGCTTATACCAAGGATGAGTTATTGGAGATGAATAAGGAGTCTTTAAAAGCTACTATTGCAGCTTTGGAGGAGAAGACGCAGAACTCCCCTGTTGACCTCTCTGTAATCGAAGAGTACCGTCGCCGGTCAGCTGAACATGAAGCTCGTTCGGCGGATCTCAATACTGCCCTTGCATCTCGCGACAGTGCTAAAGCTCGTCTTGACGGCCTTCGATCCGCTCGATTGAATGGATTCATGGAAGGCTTTAGCATCATCTCGCTCCGCCTTAAGGAGATGTACCAGATGATTACAATGGGTGGTAACGCAGAACTAGAACTAGTGGATTCTTTAGATCCTTTCTCTGAAGGTATCTTGTTCTCCGTCATGCCTCCGAAGAAGAGCTGGAAGAACATTGGCAACTTGTCCGGTGGTGAGAAGACACTATCTAGTTTGGCCCTAGTTTTCGCCTTGCACCATTACAAGCCTACGCCACTGTACGTCATGGACGAAATTGATGCCGCCTTGGACTTCAGAAACGTAGGTGTACTCTCTTGTTGCCCGACAGAACAAGCCAGCTAACTCAAGTGTTCCAGGTCTCCATCGTGGCTTCGTACATCAAAGAAAGAACGAAGAACGCGCAATTCATTGTCATCTCCTTGAGGAACAACATGGTAAGCTCCTCAACCTAATTCGCGGTCCTTGAATATTGCTAACGACAGTAGTTCGAGCTCGCATCGCGCCTGGTCGGTGTCTACAAGGTCAACCATAAGACTAAGAGTGTAACCATCGAGAACAAGGATTATATCAAGAGACAGGCATGAGTGCAGTAATTAGTGTATTTGTTGTTTTGCGTTGCTTTCTCAACGAATGTTTATGAGCCGGAAATGGATGGGAATATGATGTGGTTCATGTTTATTCGGTGTGATGGGTCTCTGCAAGTAGTTTCGATTCTCTTTTGTTATGTCCATGGATACCGACGGGAGATTTTGGGATAGGTCACTTCTATTCGGCTGAATATGTTGTTCTTTGTGTTCTTCAGTATATAATTTTCTTCTGACAGATGGATATCTCTGCAACTTACATCTAGTTTGCCATCCTTTACAATCTTCACATCAATTAACATGATCACGTCTCCGCTATCTACCGGTCAAACTTTATAGGATGCAGCATTTAAATGATGCATTGCCTAACCACTCACTTCATTGTTTATATTGGCATGCCCTTAGCCATACAAGACATGGAGGAGATCGTAGAATGAGGTCACTTATAGAGCAAGTCCATCACCGAGGTATTAAGCATAATGGTGTCCAGAAACGCCACCTGCGCGCTAGCAGACACTAAAGATAGTTTATACTTGTTGAAAAACGTGGTAGGTTTCTACCACTGATAAATTTCCGCCATCGTGTCACACTAAATATAGAACGGACAAGCTTTAACAGTGATACTGTGGTTTAGTACGATGCGATCTACTAGAAGTCTAGAACAGTAGCGAACGAGGGCATAAATATATAAGTATCATCGACCAACTCACGTGGGGTCTAGATCCCGTTCTAGATCGATCTTCGATTGCGCTACTACTCCAAAAACCTACAGATTTATCAATTCATCCTCGCTTCTTGACTCGGAGCGCAAGGTCTACAGATACACATTTCTCGATTGAGATCACAATGATTGATTCAAACTCAAAGAAAGGGCACTGTTGAGATAGAATACATACAAGCATGTCAAATGTCGCGCGAGCGTTTTGTTCATCGCTTTCGTAACGACATTCACATCATGAACCAAGTGCTTGCCAGCCTCGTCCTCTCCCCTTAGCAATATTAAAAAATATAATTTAAGAGTGTAAGGTGCGTATTCGAAGTTGAAAAGGAATCGAGCAAAACCAGATCGCTTGTCCACCCACGCTTGGAAAGAAGTAAAGAAACTGGAATAGAGGTATGTTGCCCAAAATACACCGAAACTCCGCTTCCATCTTAAAAGCGCCGTAGTCTATGTTGAATCCGTCCGTCAAAGTCACAAAGGCTAGTTAAAGAAAGAACAAATGAAAAATAACAAAAAAAAAAAAAA